TAATTGCAAACCTGATCTCTGCAACATTAACAATTATGTTGTAATTGATGCATGCTCTTAAATTTGGTTAACTGAATGTTTTTTAGCATTTAGGTTGCATTAAAAACTTTAATAGTCATTCATCGTGCTCTGAGGGAGGTGGACCCTACATTTCATGAAGAACTCATTAACTATGGCAGAAGTAGAAGCCATATGCTTAACATGTCTCATTTCAAGGATGATTCTAGCCCAAATGGTACCTTATCTTCTGAGAATCCATGTTATTAATTTTCCGAAAAAATGAAGTTCCTTGTTTATGAAATCCTTAACCATGTTCTGCACAGCATGGGATTATTCTGCCTGGGTTCGCACTTATGCCTTATTCTTGGAGGAGAGGCTGGAATGTTTTCGTGTCTTGAAGTATGATATTGAGATGGACCGCCCTGTAAGAAGCTTATCTTTTCTACATAATCTTTAATTTTATTCTACAATCCTTTTTTTTCTATGTTAGTTTTTATTTGGGAGGCATTTTGCTACCATTCTTTTTAATGATTTCTTTGCAACATCATAGGGTAGTAGTTGGTATGGCACTTGTGTAGAGCTCCAATTTTTGCATGATATGAGAAAGTAAGAGTGAAAGATAATTGATAAATCAAGTTAATTCACAAAGATTGGGATTTTCATTGGGTGAAATTGCTCTGATGGAGAATTCAGATATTTAGAACTCTATGTTTCCCTTTTAAATAAATTAGTTATGTCTCTCCAAGTTAACTCTTGAATAATCTACTTTTTTCATGCTACATTTCATGGCAGCACATGCTGTTTTTGAGCCATCGCTATAAATAAGTGCTCTAGGTTTCCATGCCTCCCTCCTGCCATCCCTTTTCTATCCTCTAGTTCTTTGTGCCTGGAAGCATGCATGCACATCTATAAATATGGGCTTCTAATTTAGCTAAATAAAACTACCCTGTGAGGATCTTATGTTTCTCTTTCTCTTGTTTGAATTGTAACTATGTGTCTTACAAAGCTTTAATCTTACTGAAACTGAACTATCTGGAGAATTCATAGATTTGAATCTTCTTGCAGAGAACCAAAGATTTGGACACGGCAGACTTGCTTGAGCATTTGCCAGCTTTGCAACTGCTTCTTTTTCGTGCTCTTGGCTGTCAGGTCAGTATTTAATGCCTCTTGTTTTGCTATAGGTAGATATGGCATGGAAATTGGTGCTGGTTGTGTTGGTTGTATTTCTTTTTATACTGCATGTTCTACAAAATCTTCTGTTTTTTGTTCCATTTATTTTAATGAAAATATTAATGGAATTTCTGTGTAGCCACAAGGTGCAGCTGTTCATAATTTTGTAATCCAGTTGGCACTTTCAATGGTATGTTACTTTTTAAACATCATAGCCGTTTACGCTCCCCATATTTGTAGAGTTAATTTAGAAATGATATTACTGTCTTTGTCCTTTTGTCATTTCAAACAGGTTGCTTCTGAAAGTGTCAAAATTTATCAAGCTATCAGTGATGGTACGGTTAATCTCGTAGACAAGGTAAGCTGTGGTATTAACTTTCTAAATAAGATGCTTTTCTATTCAGTGAATCATGTATATATGATGCTCTTAACAATGACAGTTCTTTGAGATGCAACGTTCAGATGCTATGAGGGCTTTGGATATATACAGGAGATCTGGCCAACAGGTAAATAGCTATTCTAGCAATATCATCTCCTAGCGCACATAAAGAGGATTGCAAACTCCGGGGAAATGTAACACTTTGTATTTGCAGGCAGAGAGGCTTTCAGAATTTTATGAAGTATGTAAAAGTCTTGATGTTGGGCGTGGAGAAAGGTTTATTAAGATAGATCAGGTTAGGATTCTCCACCATTGGTGTCTTCTGAAGCAGATTTCTTTTCCTTGAAAGCTCATGAATTTTCATTATAAAATTAATTTTCTTTTGGCGTTTGTGTTGAAGCCCCCTGTATCATTTCTTCTAGCCATGGAAGAGTATGTAAGAGAAGCTCCACGGACTTCAACAGTTCGCAAAGATCAGGTCTAGAAATTTTCTCTGTGAAATTGATTTGGTTTGAACTAGAAGATATTATAATTTATATATATTTCTTTGCCTTTGCATCCATACAATTAGTTGTAATATATGTATTTATTTATGTTTGTAAACGTCATCCTTTCTAGCCTATGAATTTTATAAGAATAGTTTTATTTGATTGGCTTGTGGAAAACAGAGCAATGTGATTTTAAAAGGTTTTTTTTTTTTTGTTTTTGCAAAGTAGGTTGGGAGAGTGTTTGCTCATTTTCTTTTAGTGAACAATGATTCACCCATTTGTGCAGATCTGGACAATTATATATTTTGCAAGTCAGATTCCTGTAAAGTATAAGAATCAACCCAATTTTCATTGTTGGTCTGTCCTTTGAGTTGTTATTCATATGTAATATTCTGTTAACATGTCTATGATATATGTTCTTGTAATTGTTTATAAAAGTCCTGTTTTGAACTGTTAACTACTTTCTATTAATTTTACAAAAGTTTGCAATGATTATTATCACACATTTTATTTTTGAACAAGCAGGTTGACAAACCCAAGGAAGTGTTGGCCATTGAGTACAAGAAAACCCCAGAGGTGCAGGAGGAACGTTCACCATCACCTCCTCTGCCTGAACCAGAAAAAGTGGAGAAAGTGGAAGAGCCTGTTGTTGAACCGCCTGATTTGTTGGTAATTTCATAGTCTCATTTTCTTCTTGTTACCTACCATATTGTTATATGAGAATTGGCTGTTCATCTGAATTTGTTGTCGTTTCATTTTGAGTTCTTCCTGTTTTTGCTAGGGTTTAAATGATCCTGTCCCTGTTGCTTCTGAATTAGATGAGAAGAATGCCTTGGCATTGGCTATTGTTCCTGTTGGTGAGTTTGAGTCCTTTACAGTAATTCAATGATACACAGTGTGCAACTTCAACAATATGCTTTTCTACTTATTTTAACCGTGTAAAACGAACTTGAATACTTTCAATTTTTGTCTTACATCTTTGAAATTATCTTGGGTTGTTTTAAATTGGATCAACGCTGCTTCAATGGGTTATTTCTTGTTGGGAAATTGTGTTTATGTTTCCATGGTTGTGTGCCAGCTGAGCAAACAACTTCCGCTGCTGCTCCTGTTCAAGCAAATGGTACTACGGGCTGGGAATTGGCACTTGTCACTGCTCCAAGCTCAAATGACAGTGCCACTGGTGCTAGTAAACTGGTAGTTTTACTTCCGTCATCTCTCCTCTAGAATTGTGTGCTATATTACAAGGCTGTTGCATATGACAGTGTAATCAGTTTGTCCAGGATTATAAACATGTGTATGCTAATATAACATATATATGTATGTCTCACTGATAGTATTTTAACCGTATTAATTGAAAGGCTGGAGGACTTGACAAGCTTACACTAGACAGCCTATATGATGATGCAATCCGAAGAAGCAACCAGAGCATGAGCTATAATCCATGGGAACCAGCTCCTATGTCTGGTGCCATGATGCAACAACCAGCACATGACCCCTTTTATGCCTCCAACATGGTTGCTGCTCCACCTTCAATCCAGATGGCAGCAATGGCCAATCAGCAGCAGGCTTTTATGTTGCAGCAGCAGCAGCAGCAACAGATGATGATGATGATGATGATGGGCCCACAGCAGCAGCCTACAAATCCTTTTGGCAATTCTTACGGAGCCAGTGTCCACCCCTACAGTACAGGTAGGCCTGTTCAAGCATACAATCCACATACAGGCCTTATATAGATGCGTTGGGCAAAGAACATGTTTTATATCTGGAAGCTCAGGAAAGAAGAAACATGCAAACTGTCAGCTGTGAATTTTGAACATGGAAAATGCTCGAACAATAGGTAATTATGTACCGTATAATGTGAATGTGCTGTAGCTAGATAGATTAAGATTCTTTGTTAAATAATTAGTAAGTGAGTGAGAGAGAGAGAGAGCAAGAGAGATCATTTTGTTATTGATTATTTCCATTGATGAAGGTTGGGAATAATGATTGTAGACTTGGTAAATTCTTTTTTTTTTTTTTTTAAACCTGCTTTGAATGTTGTTGATGCTGAAGCAGGAGCTTTGATCCTGTTCTCTTTCAGGATTATCCCCATCTTTTTCAGTTTGGTTCTTTTGAGGTTGCAGATGATGGAAATGATTTGTAACATTTTGCTTTAACTTGTGCCGTAAGAAAACATTAATACACCTTTCTCTCCCTGTCGACGAATGAAGGCCTGATCAATCAATTGCTTTGCAAAATTTGTTTTGATCATGTATAGAAATCACATGTGCTGCAGCTTGATGTCCTTATATGTGCATACATATAATTTGTAGGAGCAGGTAGTTAGAATGGATTCTACCTGATGTGGTCCTTTTTTTTATGTTTGATGTGTTGAATTGGAGGCATAGAAGAAAGAAGAACGGAAGGACCTTAGACTTAGCTCCAACAATGTCAGTTTCAAAGGCCTAACTGCCCAGTCCAATGAATTTTCGTCTTTTACCATTTTACATGATGATTCCAAAGGATGGGTTGGAAACCCTAACTTCTTTCATTTTAAAGGACCTTTTTTTTTTTTTTATAATTTTCATAAACTGTGACGGCTTGAAAGTTTTTTAAAAAATTATAATCATTAAAATTTAAAATTTAAATTTATTGGATGTCAAAAATGATTACATGAATTATCTTAATTCTTAGTTAAATTTTGAAGGGATAACAAATTGCTTTTAAATCAGCAGCATTGCCGTGTACTTATTGGATTGGAACTTAAAGAAAAAAAAAGGGTGAGAAATGTGGGGTCGAGCATGGATAAAGTGCCGAAAAGAAGGGATACAAATATATCCGAAACAAGTAAATGGAACAACGGATAAAATATTTAAAAGCCGCTGACTGAGCCAACCAACTCTAACACCGCTGCCCGCAACCACTTCTACGAATTTTTTATATTTTACTACTTTTTATAAAAGAAACCCAAACAAAAAGTAATAATAACAAAAATAAATAAAGAAAATAAATTTGTAGAAAAAGCCAGCAGAAAAGAGAAGAACAACTCCGTGCTCCTTTTTTTTTTTTTTTTTTCCCTCTCAATTTTCATTTAACACTTAATTATAATACTAGTACTCTATAATGTCTTGGCTGTTGAAGTCTCTTCAATCCGACGTTCCTCATTCACCCACCTCATCAACCGATCACACTCCCACCAACCGAAACGGCGGTGTCAAGGAGGATCTTTCGGTGCTCAGGGAGACTATCGGCCGCCAATTACGTGGCGTCGCTGCCTTCTTAGCACCACCTCCCTCTTCGCCTCCTTGTGTCACTGCCGCCGAGCCAGAAGAAGAAGAAGAAGAAGCACAACAGCAGCCGTTGGATAAGCTAGAGGCGATCCGCAACGATTTGGCAGAGATCGGAGGAAGCTTCAAGGGCGGGCTTTCGTTGTTATCAAGTAACAAAGCGCTGACAGAGATCTCCAGATTCGCTTCGAGTTTCTTGCAGTTCCCAAATCAAGATAATCATGGTTATGATGATGATGATGATGATGGTGATGGTGATGATGATGATGGTGATGATGATGATGGAGTTCCGGGAATTACGGAAGAGGTGGTTGAATTTGTTCAAGAAATTTCCAACTGCCCAGAGTTCTGGACTGAATTTCCTCTCTCACTAAATAACGGTATCATTATTATTTTTTTAATTCTTATTTCAAACTTAATTTTATTTGTATTGCATTTTTTTCCTGAATTGTTATAAACCCTAAATTAGGTTTTAACTTTAGGGATTTTAATTAGTTCTCCAAAGTATTAGCAAAATAATAATCTATTATCTGAAGATCAAATGCAGGATATGTTACGCTTATTTGATCTTATTTGACGCGGTTCTTAAAATGATTAATGGATTGAGGGCAGCTTCGTCCTTTATTTGCAATGCTAACATTTTGTAAAGGTGGTGGAACACTAGACCTAGAAGTTTCCATTATTAAGGGGGATTTCTTATGCTCTGTTTGTGCGTTGCTTAACTAGAGCAATGATAACAATGTGATTTTTCTCTTATGCTAATCCTGTAGGTTTGGTAAGTTATACCATTAGAGTAGATGTGCATAGGCAAGCAATGACTTTTGCATTGAATATACATTGTTATGAAGGGAACTTTGTATGTGTGAGTGTACGTGAATTTGATTGAGTTGTTTTGGGGTGGACAAATGCTGTTGGCTCTCATTGTTTGGTTGAATTGACTTGCCTATGGCTGGCATTCAAATGCAAAATTCTGATTACTGGGCAGTGATGAGATTAAGGTTGCTACTTTGTACCATAGACTTATTGTTACTGGAGCATATTATATGAGGACACATGGAGAGAACTTACCCTTGAGCATCTTCTTTTCTCTTTTCCTAATCTCTTTGAAATGAATGGAAATTTATAGCTAACAAAACATTGGCTTATAGTTGCAGATTTCAAAATGTCAGAGGCTCAGAGAGAGCATGTCGAAAATATTGAACACCTAGTCCCAAGTTTTGAAGCTCTTAAAGTTAACCTTCATCATCACTTGGGAGATGAAAGATTTTGGATGATATACTTCATATTGTTGCTTCCAAGATTGAATGAGAATGATTTTGAGCTTCTATCAACTCCTGAGGCAAGAATTTTAATATCTTTATGATGTTTTATGGAATTTTACTTACATGCATAGTAGTGTGTGGAAATAAAATATACTGATGAAGAATGACCATATCATCAACTGCTTTCCTTAATTCACCCGGAAATGTACTTGTTTTCTGTTTATCTTCCTTCCTACCTCAAATCACATGCATTTGGTGTAGGAATAAAATTGGCCAAAAAATGATGCAGGAGTAATACCATAGGCACATGTTATATTCCTTTCTACTATTAATTATTCAACTTAACTTTTTCCAATATGAATACTTTATCTCAGAAACATATTGCTTGTTCTTGTAGCCAGAAGCTAATAGCCTGATTTTGTTTGTTCAATTACATATTCCTGTAGACATAGTCAAATGCATCGAATACTGGGTTCCTTGTGCTCTAATTATTTTCTGTGTTTATATGCCAATAATGTCTGTACATATGCTTGCTACTGCTTTGAAAGCTTTGTAGTGATCTTTGCAACTCCTAGAGTGCCCTGCTGAAAACCCAATGAAATAGGCCCACTATCTGCGTAATCTCTGATCTGCAACTTTTGCTAAAAATCACATCCTCCCCAACTCCATTCTATTTTTCTTTCCCTAAGAAGTGCTTCTCCTTTGTGTTGCCCCCCATCTCATAGTGAAAAACCTATATTGTTTCAGGCATCAGCAATCAGAGCTGAAGGCCTGTTGGATTTAGTAGATTGATCAGAAACAAGGAATAGGTGTACTTGACTGGACCTTAGTGTTGGAACAAGCAATGGTTCTAGACTTACCAATTTTTTTCTAACGGGAGAGCATTGGGGTTAGGATTTTAAATGTAGCATGAAATTCCCTTCTTTTCTGATATATAAATGTTGTGAATCTCGAGAACACATGTTCTACTCTCTTTAACCTATAAAGCAATGACTAAGTCGGTCACCAAATTGGTAGACTACTCAGTTACAAATTCACCAAAACCTAGAAAAAGAATATAAAAATGGGCATTTGCGAAATATATAAATGAAGTGAAGGATTCAACTTTCACATCATTTTCTCCAACAGCGGATTCTCTTTTATCTCTAATATGCATTTTTGTTTCTTTTTGCTCCATTGTTACTAATTTCTATTTGTGTTTTATGTTCACTTTCTGGCTGGAAAAAGCATGCTTTGTTTTATGCAATCAAAACAATTTTCATTGAAAGTTTTATGTTGCAGGTTGTTGAGACTAGAGATGCACTTCTGCAGAAGCTGCAAAACAATAAGAATGCACGGGTTGAGAATAGTAATCTCAATGCATCTGAAAAGAGCGGCGAGGTTACTGAGACAAAGCAAGAGAACATCTCCTCTGAAGAAAAGGTCAGTGAAATTGTAAATGCAGCGGAAAGATTGGAGATTGCCAGTGAAGAGAATGCTGAGCAGTGGTTGGAAGAAGCAGATATTTCAAGTGGAAGTTCTGTGAGTGTCAAGAAAAACCTGGAACATGAAGAGGATGTTTCGTTCAGTGATTTGGAAGATGATGATAACTATCTTTCTAATAGAGTATCAGTGCGTAAATCGACACAGCACGGTAAAACTTCTTCACCTAGTGGATCCAATGACTGGGTTCAGCTGAACAAGGGACCAAAAACTCTTGGTGGCTTGCAGAAAGCAGGCCAATCAAATTCTCGAGATAAAGATTCTGAAGGTGAGGACTCAAATGATTGGCTCACCGATGATGATTTCGTCGATGTGGTAAGTGGCAACTGATTTTCTGATTTACAGTAAAGTTTCACAAATCCATTTTCCCCGTAGAATTCTGTACTCGTGGAAATCAAGCTATCACTAATAATTCAGTCAATATTGCCTTTGAAGTCGCCAACTTCAATGCTGTTACTGTTAATATTTGTACATAATTGATACATTGGTTTGTAAATTGAAGCTGCCAACTTTAATACGTTGGTTCTTTCTTTTATTCTTCCATTTTCTTTTCTCCTCTTTGTGCTGTTAAGTTTGCAAAATACCTGGAAACTGAAAAATCAGTGTTGATATAGTCTGCCTCTTCGTTCCGAATTCCTATGCCCCCACCCCAAAAAAAAAAAAAAGAAAAACTCGCACAAGTTTGATTATTTGCAAGATTTGATAAGAGAGAAAGAAAAGGAAAAAGAAAAGAAACCAAGCAGGCAACTTGTGATGGAACACGAAAGCTATACTGTTTGTTTGCATGGTTGATAGGAAAGGTGTTAGGAAATGCTACTTTTCATTTAATTGTCGTGTCTTCTCACGTTTTCAAAATTTCATACTTTTGTTGACAGACATAAAAGTGTTCTGCTTTTCGGTTACAACTGAACACCACAAAGATATACCAATAAGAGAGAATAAAAGGAAGTTGAAGCATTAATAAGCTTGACTGGAGAGACAAAACAAGGCGAACCGGTTGATCTGGTAGGGTAGTTTGGTTTGGACGAAGAAAGGATGTTTAAGGTGAAGAAGATTGGGTTGGTTTAAAGGAAAAGGTAAAGTGAGGAAATGCACTGGATGAGTTAGCAGTGGGTGTCGATCGATTGGTGATAGCTTTAGTGTGGTTTTTGCAGGTTTTTCGATGAAAAATTGGACCAAGTAGAGGTTAGGGAGGGTTTAGAAGGTTTAGGTCGGTTGAGGGAGGTGTCTTGATGATAGGAAATTGAGGAAATGAAATAGCTTTGAGAGAGAAGGTTGGATTTCTTGGAGAAGACAGTGACGCAAAAATGAATAAACAATTCTATTTACAGGGAAATGGACGGAAGAATTTATTAGAAGTTCTTTGAATGAAATTTTTAAAATTCCTCGATAAAATTAAAACATCCGTTAAAATTATTTAGTCAGCAAACCCTTCCCTTTATTTTTGGAGCTTGGGAAAGACAACATGCAAAGCTTACATAAGAGTTACAAAATGTTTTTCAAGTTACACTTACAGAACAATCTACACACATTTCTAACTAAACCAAGAAAAACATATAGATACAGCCGGTACAAGAATCACAAGTATAAGAAACAGTGGAAAGAAGATAAACATTCTTTACCAAGGAAAGCAATGCCTTTGCAAGTATCCGCTTTCTCTATGCTTAGGCAAAAGCCATGTCTCCCATAATTTGGGATTTTCAAAAGCAAAGCACCAATTTCGAAGATTGTAGGATTGGCTAATGCTGTTGAGTCACGTAGTCACGTATCATCCTTGGCAAATGATTCCATTCAATAAGAAGCTTTGTATATATATATATATATTTGGGTTCTATAGCTTTGTACTTTAAAGATTAAAGGATATACAAAATCCTATGCTATAATTAAAAAATTATTTAAATTATTATTTTTTTATTATAATTAATCAATTATTTTAATCTTTATTTGCATCTAATTAAATATTTATTTTGATAAAAAAGTTAATATCACTAATTTTTTATTAACTAAAATAAAATTTCATATGACATTAATAAAATAGTTAAAAGTTTATTACACGATGTAATTAATATATATGTTAATTAAATTGAATAAAATAAATTTTTTTTTATTTTTTGTTTTATCTCCTCCTCTCTCTAAAATTCATCTAAAAATTTAATTTACTATAATTCATATATTAATTGATTAAATTTTACAATATGATTAGATTTCGTCAATCTAAAAAATCAATTGAATAGAAATAAAAAATTAAAAACTTAATTGATTGTAATAAAATATTAAAAATTTAAATAATTATTGAATTATATAATATAAGAACATTTTTTATCCTTTAGCCTATTTTAAAAAAGAGTGTTTGAGGGTAATAGCAGCAAATAAATACTAAAAAGGTTTTTACTAAGTAAGCAAATTTTAATTTTATTGAGAGATTCTAAAATCTTCTCTTAAAGAACTTCGTATAAAATGCCCGGAGCATGAAAGCTTTTTTATTTGTTCAATTTGGGTTGGTTGTAAATATATATATTATTTTATAATGAATTGAAATGAAAATTTAAATCTAAAGTTGGATTTTTATTTTACTTTTAGTTGACATACAAATTCAAAATTTTTTCTTTCATCCTATTACATAATTTTCCAATCAAATTTGTAAACATTATATAGATCCAATTTCATTTTAAATTTTAGTGCAAAGTCCTGTTAAACATACTACTGATTCAAACAAAAAACATGAAAACGGAAAAGGATGAATTTAAATAAAAAAAAATTTTATATCTTTTTTTAATTATTAATTTTAATAGATTCAATAGATGAGATTAAATCATATTTTTTTCTTTTTGAATTAAAATCAATGATTAAAAAAAATAAAAGGTGTAAAACTTTTTTTTTGTAGCTTGATTCCTCTCCTATGAAAATTTATATAATTAAAATTTTGAATAAATAAGTGTTTAAAAAAATCAAAATAATTTCCAGAGAAATGGAAGATGTTTGAAGTCCTACTGAAACCAAGACAATTATTTATAAATATATATTATAAATAATTTTCGGAGAACCGAGTCCATTCATTTAGCTATACTTCATATTTTTACACCTACATAATTACATGAATCTATACATTGGATTTCTATTTTTTTTTTAAATTTAAAAAAATGCCTTAACAGAAATTTAAGTCAATAATTAAGGTTTTAATATGAATTGAACCTTTCAAAAACCAATATCAATAAAAATAAAATATGTTAAACAATATTTTTCAAATTTTGGTATAACAGAAAACAAAAGAAAAAATTATAAATACTGAAATTTGAATCTTAATCTCAACCTTTGCTTGGTATCATTTCTTAAAAATAATTATATAAACCAACTCAGCCGATTCAAACAATAATAAACATATTTGGCGAAATAAGTTTTCTATATCTATAATATCATAATACCAGAACCGGTGAAATTGGATGGGAAATTTTGGTATGTTGTCCGTGCTACCATAAAAATTTGATTTTGGCCAAGGCTACCGTAAGTTGAGTTTGGAAAACCAGCAGTGACAATTAAACCAGCAGTAGGAACAACCTTTATGACAAGGACGGAAAAGAACAACACTTTACAGTTATATCTAAAATGCAGAAAACCAAACAGAAGCTGAAAAACTGTAATGTCCACTTATGAACCTGCCCATCAGCTAACTGCTTATTTACAAATCCATATTTCTCCTATAGCCTCTCTGAAGTCATCCCCCTTTGGAACAGGCTTTATACAATGCTTTAACCACCTCGCATATATCTCAGTCACCGTGTTTCATCGCCCCCTGCCCCTCCATCCAGGAGTGTGGAGGGGTGGCCTCAAAAGATCGCTGGAATTGGAATCCATCAAAGAACTCGGAGCCCTTTGTATGTATCCATCAGTTTGTCTTCGTTGTGCTGGTTTCACAGAGGCAGTTATTGGCCAATGATTTCTATAATTGGATCTTCGGGTAGAAAAAGGCAACTGGGTAGCTAAAGAACAGAATGAGGGGCCTGGATGACCTGGAGATGAACTTGACTTTGAGTTTGATAAAGTAGGATAGACAGATGCTACTACCTTTTCTGGTTCAAGAAATGTATGCTTCAAAAGCTCTACATTTGGTGGACACCATTCAGGCATATCATCATCATCATCATCAAAAATATTCTTTTGAGGTGCAACTATGGTAGTGATAACAGGCGTAAAGGTTGTGCCACTTTTGGTGGTCTGTTTCATTTCTAAAGCTGGTAACATTGATATCTGATCATGTTCACAAACTTTCTTTCCTGGAGGCAAGTTCAGAATAGCATCGTATGGAAACTCAGGAAGAAGGAAATTTTCTGCTCGTCTTTTATGTGGAGCAGGTAGTGACTGTATAGTTGGTAAAGTCAATGGCAATGACCCAACAATTTTCTTTAATCCTTCAACGAAAACATTCTTGTCGAACACTGCAGTATCCAAAACCTTATTTCTTAGACTTTCAGATATACCACAGGCAGCCCCAAAATCAAATTCTGGAAGATCATCATCGTCAATAGCAGGTGTGTGCACTTTTGTAATGACTGATGGCAGAGACAAGACAGGATTTTGAAGTCCCAAACCAGATTTAGGTTTCTCTGTTCCTGCGTTAGCTGTCAGAGACATTCCCCTTTCAGAAGACTGCTCCTTGGGTCCGAAGACAGAGACAGAGTTAGAACATGAGGATGTTTGAAGTCCTTCCGAAGTACTTGAGAAGTTGCTCAATGCAGAAGTTGTAAGCAAGAGATTAGCACTGGCAGGAGAGTTGTGCAGTTCAAGTTGGATATCATTACTGACCACATTGTCACCTTCATTTCTATTGATTATAGCACTCCCAATGCTTGTGCATGTGGCTAGGTGGGATTCTTGAGCTGGTTGTGTGCAAGGCAAGTCATTTTCCAAAAGTTTTTGTTCAGAGCGGGAGTTCAGAGGTTGCTCTGTCAAGGAAGAATGCTTTCTTTCAAGCTTCCTTGTAACAGAATTTGATGGTCCATGATTTCTTCGCCAAACAACACAACCCACCAATGAGTTCTGCTTGTCTTCAACTGCAGCCATGCCCTTGAAGAATCCATGTTTTGCAAGTATGGTGATTATGGCATCACTGCGAGGACATATGTAAAGATCAATACCTGGCGAGAGTTGAGCAAACCCAACTCTTTCCCCTTTCTCGTACCCTTTTGCAATCTGTTAAGATTGAATTAATATATGGATCAGAAATCCTCAAAACGCAGTTCAGGCACTACATGACCATATTCATATTCTTTTTCAACCCACCTACCTCTTTCAAGCCTGCCAGTCCGGATTTAGAAGATCCTTCTTTCCAGCAAAGTGATACAACCTGAAAATAAGTGCATTAATCTGTCAGAAATTTGAATTGAAAGAAAAGTATATCTAATTAGCAACAAGCTAACCCTAAACTAAAAAACTAAAAAGTAACATGTTACCCATTACTGTTTTTCTTGCTATTGAGGAAGATTCAATAATGACTTGTGAATTTGTTTCAGAAATCACTATGCTTACATTATTCATTAAAAGACACATATATACCTGAGAGTTGAGACTTGAGATTAGAAGTGCAAAGAAGACATCTATAGGGCTGCCACCAGTCTTTACCTCAGGCTTTTGGCCCTTTCATTTATAAATGAAACAGTATGCCATAAAAATTAACTGTTCTTAATTTTGAATAAATCTCTCTCCCTCTCCCTCCACCCTCTGCAGTGGGGTTCCAAATGACAGTTCTTCACCAAATGAGATTTGAAAAGATGTCTTAAAAGTTGTAGCAGACATTGACTTAGCTTTTGCAAGCAATTGAAACTCTTTGTGCTAAGGAACTTAAACTGTTTATCTAATTCAAACCCTGGTTATTTAAGGCAAGGAAGATCTTGAATAAAACTTTATAGAGGTAAATTATGCACTTCATAATCTGAATTTGATGAAAGTAACTCAAGCAAACTATATCTTACCATCAACCCTCTATTGCGTGAGCGAGCAAGCTCTTGAATATATTTCTCAAAAGCCTCTAGTCTAACTTTTCCTTTGACTTGTACAAGTTCAGACCACTTGATATCAGGCATCTTCTCACCGCTAAACAATAAAATCATCATAAACAAGGTTAACTATGGAAGATTTGCTACTCAAACCTTTACATCATGAAGGCTACCTAGTTAAATATTTTATTATACCAAATGATTAATGATCACAATTCTTGGGTCATTTAAATTAATGACAGTTAATTTGCTCATTCAAGTTTTCTTTCCCCACTGAATAGAGTTATGGTTGTACATTCTATCATTTGTTGCCTCGTATGAACAAATGGCTATATTGGTTGTTGGACAAATATCCATTTCAGTTTCATGCCATATCTAAATGACCAATAATACAGGGTTTCCAGTGCAAATTCTAATGAAGTTGTACCTTTAAAATGTTAAATGGTCTAATTTTCATGTCCATCTCTAATTACATGACCTTTCTCTCATGAAAAGAATTTGATCCTACATTACACCAAATTTAGCATTGTTTATATGAAGATCTCTCTGATCAATTTGATTATTTTTGTTTTTCCTTTTCTAATTTAGGTATCCATTAGAAATTACTGGGAAAAAGTTCTCTTGACGATTCCACTCTATGCCTTTATAGATAAAGAAAAATCAGCAACAAGTCAACTAATTAACTTGTGATTTTTCGCTCATTTATTTGGTTCCAAATTGCTCTTGTTTTTGAACTCTTGTAAAATTTCCCAACCAGAGTTGTTCTTCTTTTGATATATTTGACTTTTTGCATGGTATAAAAATTATAAAGTTTTGGCTTAAATATAAAAAAAAACCCCTGAACTAAAATTAAATAATCATCTAAGCCCCTATCATATTATTGCAACTAATTGAACCCCTAATAATTTATTTCACCCAATTGAGCCCTCATTATGTGAAAATTGGTGATGGCAATTAGCCAATTTTCATCCAATAAAGACTCAATTAGCTGGAAATAATGTTTGAGACTTAATTGATTGCCGTAAAATGATAGAGGCTTGGATGATTCTTTAATTTTAGTTCAAGGCTTTTTGAATACTTCAGCCTAAATTTTTATCAGCCCTGATTCTGGGAGCTTTGCAAATACAGTCATCAAATAATCTTTTGAAGTGATTCTTAGAACAGAATAGTTAACAGGAATTCAACTGATTTAAAGACAACTGGCACGCATAGCAGAAACCATATAATTTCATCTTCATAGGACCAAAACAGGAACAAATGAATTGAAAATCTCTAATACCAAAGCCTAATCGTTTTCAAAAGCAAAGAAGTAGATGAATAACCTTTTGAAGAAGGCAACGACCGACACAGTTACAGAAGAATTAAGCTGAAGGGACCCATCCCAGAGCTTCTCGGCAACCGTTGGACGAGCAAACCTCAAATTCCCAGAACCCGATCCTTCTCTTTTCGCCATTGTTTTTATTATTACGAAAATGCCATCTCGACCGCAAACCAGGATTCAAGTAGCCTCACTCGTTGATTTGGTAGCGGGAAACGATGATTGCAATTGCACTTGATTTTCCATAGTCATCGAAGCCTTCTGGGCCGATTTATCCCTCCAGCCCATAAATTGACGTAATTCCCGGAATTTCCAAAATTCGCACTAAATCTCTGTTCAACGACAACAAATTGAGACAAGAAAAAAAAAGGAATTTGTTTAAACAAAAATCCAGGAAATGAAAGAAAAATAATCGGGAAATTGTTTTGTTTTACCTAAATAATAATCGAAAAATAGGAGGCCGTACAATCGAGAGAGAGAGTTAAGTGTGCACTGTACCGAGTATCGTGTGGGTCTGCGCTTCGAATTAGATCTGATCGACATTTTTTTTATTTTTTATTTTATTTAGGGCTTGAAAAAGGAATGTTAACGTCACGCCATGGTCACCAAATGCTTAACCCTTTTTTATTAATAAAATTACTATTTAACTTTTTTTCTATATATTTTTATCCTATCTTCTTTATTAACAATAAAAAAATAAAAATAAGTAATAAAAATATGTATGCAATTTAGATATAAATGTAAAGATGACGTTAAGATTAGACATGACAATAAATTTCGTAACAAAAAACAATTAACTGTTTTAATCCACAAAATTTTTAAAAATATTTTGTATTTCAATTTCTCAGGCAGGTGACTGCCCTAGGGTCGCGTATTGGACCCTAGACCCCAGTGTCCGCCAAAGCCGCACAAAGCAGGAAGTTCCATCATACTCGATCCCTATCAAATTCAAAATAATTATTTTCTACTTTACAACACAGAAAGTTTCATGGCATCTCTCAGCATCATCCTGTTGCTCAAGAGTGGAGTACCGTTAGAGCGAAGGTTTTTATCAGTACATATTGATTTGAGTGATTAAAAACTTTATTTTTTTAAAGTACAATTTTAATTTTAAAATTTTAAAATATAAAAATAATTTTTTTTTTATGAAATCCAATTCAAATTAATTTTAAATTAATTAACGAATATAAAAAATTTAAAAAAAATTTTAAGCGAAGTTTTTTCGTTTGATAATGCGATATTGCCAACGTCTTATATGGTGTCAGTGGTTAGTTCGACGCCTTCTCGTTGCCCCAAAGTGCCTTTGACAATAATAAATGATTCGTATATCTTTTGGATCAACTTGGTGTTGCTGCTTTCTTGGTCACATAATGCGGTCGATAATCAAGATGGTATCAACTGGTTTTTCTTATAAAATTTTCATCTAATTTTTTAAAAATTATATATAAATTTAAAAAATTAAAATATATATTTTATATTTAATATTCAATATTAATTTAATACGATAATTTTTTTTATGTTTTATACATATTTAATATGATATAAATATATAAAATTATTAACTCAAATTTGAAATATAATGTTTTTGTGAAATCAATGTTTAGACAAAAAAAATATTAGCAAAATATGTATCTTACGCCAAGATATCTAAATTTATATCATTGAAAAATCTTAAATGAAATTTTTAAATGAAATTCGTTAAATTTTTTTAAAAAATAATTTAATAAAAATTTTAACAAAAATTTAAAATTAGAGATTAATAAAATTCAATGTAAAAAATTATTAAAAAAATATTTATAATTAAATTTTAATTGATATTTATTAATAATAAAAATTCTATTAAAATTTTTACTAAAAATATCTATTTTAAAAATATATCAAATTTTATTAAAAATTTTCAAAATTTTCACACTTAATTCAATTATGATAAAACTTTTTAGTTTATTAATTTTGATTTTTAATTTTAATTTAATTTAATTATTTTAATAAAAAATTTTAAGAATTTTATTTAAAATATTTTGTTAAAGTTTTTCTTTATAACTTTACATGCATTTACGGAAATGCAGCTGGCAGCCCGCTAAACATGTGAAAATTTGAAGGCCAAATTGTCCAGGAATAGCACCACCAATATATTAAAAAAAAATTTACAAGGCATAAAAGCAGGACGACAAAAAGAGTCCATTACAAAAAAATGTGAGCAGAACATAAACGATGATCAACAAAAGCATTAATATCAATGTCGCCCTGCAAGAAAACAACAATAACAATATATACTTGAAATTACCGGAACTGAAATGGAATTCAATGCATGATTCCAATACCGTTAAAGAGCGAAATATGTTTTAGCAATACTTACGTGAACTTAAAATCTCGCCACCAAATAGCATTTTTGTAACGACGAGCTTGGCTTTTGAATCGAATTGCATTCCCCTGCATTGTACTAGTCTTTTCAACAAGCAACGCCAAGCGATCGCCTCTCTCCAAAAGTTTCTCAATGTTGTCGACCATTACACTCCGCACCTATATGTATTAAATTGTGAAAATGGAATCCTGAAACCTCGAATTCAAGGATGTTTGAAAGAAACAATGATGAATGAACACAAGTACCTGGCTCATTTCCTCTTTCAAACGGTTTAATCTATCGGCTGTCGGATCTTTCGAAAAATGGTCCATTTGTTGACTCAGGATCCTGGAGAATTCATCATTCATGGCAAACGCTGAAGCTGAATGAATGGCACGACCATATGTCTTAACAAATTTTTTATGGATATCTTCCAGGAAAGCAAAAGGGATTCTCCCTACACATCAATTAATTACATACACTTTGTTAAAATTTATCATACATTTAATTGAGACTATATTTCTAGACTATTGTTCGAAAACTATTGACACTCTTTTAAACTTAAAAGGGATGGAATATAAGGCATAAATTAAATGAATGAGAGATAAATCAATGAAATTTGGCATAAAAACTATTTTGATGAACAAGTATTATTTTGAATTTTGATTTTTTATTTGGACCATTTTAGCCATGATCTTTTATTTTTAACCAATTTGACTTTATTTTTAAAAAATAATCACTCGATCACCTGATTGACTCTGCTATCAAGTTGCCACATCAGCACTTATTATCACATATCAGTACACGTGCTGATTAATATAGGATTAATATTAATATTTATATTATTAATATAAAAAATTATGATAATTATTAAATAAATATCATAATTAAATATTTAAAATAATTTATATATGATATTAAATAATTAATTAAATATCATAATTAAAAAATTAAAAAAATATTTATATATTTATGTTAAATTAAAATAAATATAAAATATGTTAAATGTATTAAATATAGTCGATAAAATTAAATATATTATTTATATTATATCATATATTTAGATTAATTAATGCATATATCGTACAAATTATATCATATTAAAATTATGTCAATATAAATAAATATAAAATATATTTTTAAAAATATATTAATAATTTTTTTATATTATTTTTATAATATTGTATTAAAAATTATTAAATTTAAAAAAAATAAAAAGAAGGGTTTTCCACAGTGAACAATGTCGGAGAACATCGAAAGGAGTAACGGCAGATATGGATTTTTCATGAGGTTTTCAAAGAAAACTAAAAAGTTGAAAAAGAAGTTAAGAGGAGTCCGAATGTGGTTTTGGATGGATTTTCAACATGGACAAATGGAAATTACTGGGATAATCCGATGCCGGATTTGGACAGATAACTGATTGTTCTTTTAACTTTTAAAATTTTAGAAGCAATAAGAGAGGGAAAATGGAGAGGATTTTTTTTGGTTGTCACATCATCAACCGTGGCATTTGATTGTCACATGAATTGACATATGACAATAAATGTTGACGTGATTGATGATGGGGCTTTTTTGCAGTTGTATCAATCACTGAAATAAAATATCTAAACTCAAAATTACCCCAAAAAAATTAGGAACCAAATAATTATTTTTGCATAATTAGATAGCCAAAATAATTATTTGATAAAATTTCTATATATATAAAGAACAGTAAATGGATCACAAAAAAAAAAAAAGAATGAGTTTATAGGCTACATACTTTCGGAGGAATCATCGGCCAAGCAAAGAACCGTGAGGCCATCGGTTCTCTTGACATGAAAAATATAACAATCATGGGAAAACGAAGAATTGCTATCATTATTTGCTTCTTTCATCCTATCCAATATCTTTCTCGCTACCGTGCTCGCATTCGTCTGCGTTGCGCTGAACTCTGCCAACACCACCTGCTCTCTCGCCACCATCCCATACGATATCCCCATTCCCCGGTAACACTCTGTTTCCCCAGCTTTTCCTCTGTTTATATCAATTACTGATCACTCCTTTTTATTTTCTTGTTTTGGGGATCTAGATTTGAAGAAGAGAATCGAGAGATGGAGTTCGGGGGCTGATTTTTTTGGCATAGATTGGGCTGGTTTTTTTGGCAGAGATTAGGTAAACTAAGGGGGACATACAAGTTAAAAGAAACAAAAGGAGAGGGAAATTGAAAATATAGAGTACAAGAAAAGGAAAGCCAGGGGGCGGTGAGTTTTCAAAGATATAGTGGAAAAAGGATGACTCGGAGTTTGAATTTTCGTTCATAATTTTTCGGCCGAGATTCGCGGGAAAGACACGTGGACCAATAAAAATGGGTTGTGGTGCAGGCATGAATGGGGGAGGGAGCAAGCCAGCAAGGTCAATTAAAAAAAGGTACAGTCTGGCTTGATGCAAAACCAACTGTAACACTGCTTGAAGTCATTAATCGACTCGGATTAATAACTCAATTTTCTTTTAAATTTTGTTATTTTTATTAGAATTTTGCTAAGGAGTAACGTAACATACTTTAATATTTTGAATTTTGAGGTCATTTTAATATATATTTTTTAAATTCAGTTATCTAAGCCTGATGGATTAAACCCAGCGTCGGACAGACCTATTAAAAATCATAAATAAAATTGTCAACTAATACAGTTGATATAAAATTATTACTATAAACAATATATTAACAACATACGCGTTAGGCAAATCTTTCTTTGTAAGGAACAAACTTTCTTTATTTCTTTTTAATGTTTTTTTTTTCAAAAATAATATTACTGTAATATAAAGATGAAGACTCGTACAAAAAGCAGAAGGAAGATCAAGAAATTGAGTTTGGAAGATAAAAAATCTCATTGTCTAATCATGGATAAGTGGCTCAAAATGTTAATTTTATTTAAATTTAATAAAAATTTTAATTTTTTATTTGAATAAAAATTAGATAATATTACATTACAAATATAAAGATAAATATAATTTTAAATTTGTATTAAATATGAGAATGAATGATATAAAAATCATCCGTTATTTGTATCTTATATATACATTTAAATTTATTTAGTAAATAAATTTTTTATTAAATGATATAAATTATTATTTTAGATTAATTAAAATTAATATATATTTATTGAAAATATATATTAAAAAATATTTATAAAAAATTATTTAAATATACAAGATAAAAATAAAAAATATATATTTTTATTTTTATTTTTTAAAAAAGTTATGGATATGAAAATTATTTATATCCATTAAATATTTATGATAATAGAAACAAAAATGAAAATAAATTTAAAATATTTATTGAATATGAATACAAAAATAAATATAGTATAAAAATAAAAAAATAAGATACTTATATTCAACCAATTGGCATCCCTAACCCAAGCAACAAACAGCAAAAAGGCAAAAAGAGCCATAGTGGTTATCTTTTGTATATATGTATGACAAGTGGGATTGATAATTTTAATCTAAATTTTCTTTTCATGCTTGTCATCATTAAGAAAATGATTGATTTTTGTTTAGTGTTTACAATTTGAATTTGGCTCAAATAATGGAAGAGTAAACTTCACCAGGTTTTGGATGATGGGATCAAGAGATTCTCTAGGATGTAAAAGACTAATTCGACCCAGGCAGGAGGGATATATAAAAAGATAGAGCCAGATCCAAAATTAAATTTGGCTTAAAGTCAAGAAATATGATTAAGCCCAGAGGCGAATGAGGGGCAGCCGGGCAGGCAGGGCCATCCCCCAAAAATTTTTTATACCATTATAGTAAGTACAATATTCGAACCCTTTCTTAATTTAATTTACTGTTTGTCCTTCCTACCCTATTTAAGTGGTTTTACCCTTGATTAAGATTATGTTAAATCTCTCAAACTAAGTCAATAACATCAGAGAAACTTTATTGATGTTACTCATTCATTTATCTTAAAATTTCGAGATTTAATTTAATTAAAAACAGTTCATAAACAAAATTAAAAAGTTGGTATCATATGATTGAGACCAGGCAAAATAACATTTTTTTTTTATAAATTGAATGTTTATATTCAATTCGAACGGATGGTTTTAGATAAAGAAAATTCGATTATATGTTATTTTTTGTAAAAATTATAAATTACTTTTATAGCATTAAAGTTCAATAGTTTTTAATGTAAAAAGATTTAAAATGCATTTTGAAATTAATTTAGAGTCTAGAAAAATGTTCCATAGCCTGGGCCACATTAACACATAGTGGCACATCGGCACATCCTTTTCAACTCCTGGGTCCTCAATGAAAATTATTTTTTCTGCTTCCATTAAATTTTGGTATGAGAAGTTAGGAGCCTATAGCTAATATCTTGTCCAAAGGGGTGCCGATATAATGTTTATAAGTTATCAAGGTACGTCATAAATTTGATTTAATTATTATTAAGTTTAAATTCAAATAGTTCAAATTAATAAGTGAATTGAATTTAAATATTTTAATATTCAATTCGAATGATTTATGAATTTAATTAAAATTTTATATTTTTATATATATTTTTATTATTTTAATTCAAAATTTATTATTTTATTTTTATATATATCAATTCGAGTTTGAATATAAATAATAATGTTTGAAGTCGGATATGAGAATTAAGCTTTTTTTTATTCAATAAACGAACTTAATCGAGTGAGTTAGAATAACTCGATTTTTATCTTAAATGAAGCTCAAGCTTGAAAATTAAAATTTAATTGAGTTTGAATTAAATTTTGTATAACAAATTTTGAGTCGAACTCAAATTCGAATTTTTTACTATATCAACTTAAATAAACTCGATTACATCTCTAAAAAGGAATTATCATACACATTGAGGATTAAATTGATATAAATGTAACAGAGAATCTAGGGTAGTAAGTAATTGACATGTTAGTTAAAATTTACAAAGTTTTGGATAATTAATAAGCTTAATATCCAAATAAAACCTTAAACTTTATTTCGAAATACAATATACTGTCTATATTTTGTTGCATGAAATTAAGGTTATAAACTTTTATTTTATTGTAATTATACTCATTAAATCTTAAAATTGGATGAATAATATATAATTAATTAAAATTTTAAAATAATATTCTTTTAAATATTTATCATTTAATTCGTCTAAATAAATCTAAGTAAGCATTTTATAAATGAAATCATTCAATTAAAAAAATTAAAACCATCAAGATTCTAATTACAATAAAATAAAAATTTATAACATTAATTTCATGTAATAAAATATTAAAAGTTTATTTGCATTTTAAAATAAAATTTGAAAGCTTATTTAGATATTATACTTAATTAATACTATCCTACTATCATCCAACATGTGAAGACTATCAAACTTATGACATTAGAATATAAATTATGTTATATTAGAATATTATCATATGTTTCATTATTCTTATATATATTTTTTATTTTTAATATAGTACTTCAAAAGGCTATAAGATAACTCTTTAATTTCGTTGCTAAAATTTAAAATTTTCACTAACTGTTAATAAAATAATTTTTCTTAGATTATTATATTTGCATAATCCCCAAGGAATTACTACTAATTAACCATTCAAGGACCGTATATGTTTTAAAGAGAATGTACGGTGTACCCCCCCCCCCCCCCAAAAAAAAAAGAGATAAATGAAAGAAAACTCCATGGATCGAGCTCTGCAAATGTAATCTATGCAGATATGCTGGACAAACTAGAGCCAGATTATATTTACCCTGATAAATCTCAGATAGAAAAAGTTGGCATTTCAGGGCCATTCGTTTTGCATTGCAAATCTCAGGCATTGGATTTTACTGCCACCAACAGTTTATAGCGTAGAGCCGTAACGCACGACAAAATCTAGTTAATAGTTTGCGTGTCTTATTGCATTCAACACTTCCAGGCCTTTTTAACGTGGAATATGCTGCATGGATTGCAGTGTTTCTCAAACATTTTATTTATTTATTTTTAATATAATCTCTTTCCCGAGATGCCCCAAGTTTTTTTTTTTAACACAGGAAGTTTGAATGAAGAAGTTCAGCCCACCTACAGCCATCCTACAGTCACTCAGATCCCCTTTTAAACTCCTTAAAAACCCCCCAACTTCTTCCTCTTAGCTCTCTCTCGAACCCCCCTTTTCGAAAGCTATTTCGGAGATCCCCTCTCTCGAAAACCTTCGGATAGTTTTTCACTTTCAGACACATTGCCCACAACACTCTGTCGGACACCCAGACACAAAAAAAAAAAATCCTTCAACCCACATCAACCACTAAAATAGAAACACAAAAACAAAAACAAGAAAAAAGAGACAAACAGTCCTCCCTGCAAGGAGAAATCCAGCGCGAAAGCTACCTGTAAAAGCAAAAAAATAACGTCAGTCTTGCTTTAACAAAAAAACAAAGGAAACAGAAACTTTGAGCCCCGATCAACGCTGGTAAAATGGACGTCAAATCCAGAAAGAGCGTGTTGAAAAGCGCTTCTGAGAGTATTATTGAAATTTTTCGATCACCGGCGACCACCGACAACCCTGTCAGCGGCGACCCAGGCGGCAGCTGGCACGATGGTCTGACGACCGGACGGCAAGCTCTCCCCAGAGCTTTTCCCCCCTTTTTTTCTAAAAAACAAAAAGAATGAACAAAAAAAAAATTTAGTTATATATAAAAGACTAAGGAGCAAAACGACGTCATTTCGACTAAGGAGATCCGCGCATTGACCCAGATCTGACCCGGGATCCGCGTAACCCGACCCGTGGGCCCGTTATTCCAACAGCTGCTGACCGATCCAATTGAACCGATTTGAACCTGATTGAACCGTAGACCGCTCAACCGAATCGTGCGTCGAATCGACCCCTTTTCGATTCAATCGAACCGTCGTTGACCGGTCCGGTTCAAGTAAAAAATTTTTTTTTTAATTTTTTTTAATTTTCTAATTTTTTTATATATATTATTATTTTTGTTATTTTAATATTTTTATATATTTATGCATGATAAATTTTTAAATTTGTTAGAATAAATGTCTCATTGTTTTAATAGTAATAAAAATGAAAACAATTAAAAATATATATTAAAAATGTTCAAAAAAATATTTATTATTATTATTTTCCTGCCTAGATGTTGGAGGGAATAAAAAAAATATTTTTTTAAAAAATAATTTCGCCTAGATGTTGAGAAATTATTATTAATAAATTTTCATAAAAAATAAATATATGAAAAATTATTGATTAATTTTCAAAAATCACTAAAATCGAACTTGCTTCCAAAATTCACCTAGAGGTCGGAAATTTTTAAAGATGTTCGTATTTTTTAAAAAATGAAACCTTAAACATTATTTTTTAATTTTCAAAATCTTAGGTTTCTAAAACCCTCCATAAAATCCAAAACCCTTTAAAATTTAAAATTCTAAAAATCCTAAAAACACGTGTGAAAATTTCATTTGAAGCAATTTATTCCCGAATGTCGCCTAGATGATGGAGTATTTAGGAAATTTTACTTCTTTAAGTCTTTTCACACGATTTCTTAATTTGCATTAACAATAAGATTAATAAATAAAAAGTATAACAATAAATTAAGATCTTAAATATAAACAGTCGCACTTAAGCTCTGCCTAGATGTTAGAGAGTCAGGGTGGCCTCATTATACTTAAGAATCCAACTTTTAAATTGCATCTCATCCTACATAACATTCATTGGCATACATTAGTTAGCATGTTATTGTCAGTATTTATTTGCACTATTCTGTCTTTAATTTTTATTTACTACTTGGCGATAAAATATTTTATAATAAAAAAAGAATAATACTTTAAAAAAAATTTGTGATATTACAAAATAAAATAAAAATAACATTCCGAAAGAAATAATTCTTGGTACTCTGCCTAGATGTTAGAGAGTCACCAACAATTTTTTATAAAGAGTGTTATTTCATTTTAAGGATTGTTGTGTTAAATCTTAAGCGAAAAGATTATTTTAAATTCTGCCTAGATGTTGAAAAATTTTAAGATAATTTTTTAACTTAAAAATTTTATCAATATTTCTAAATAAAAATTTTAGCAAAAATAATTTTTTAAAAACAAATAGAATTAGTATTAAATTTTGAGTCAAAATTATTTTTATCTAATACCGAAAATAACGTATAGTTGAATGGTACCAATTTATGGGCGTTGTGGGGGTGCTAATTCTTCCTCACACATAACCAACTCTCGAACCCAACCTGATTTTTCGTAGATCAAAATTTATCTTTTTGATAAACTTTAAACCCGTTTTTATAGTTTATTTAAAAAGAAAAATTTTTTGATGACCAATCACACCCTAATAAAGATTGATGGTGATTCTCCTCATTTATTTCTCTTGATTTTAAAATTTATTTACGTCTGACGATTTCAAACCGTTACGATAATAATTAATAAGCTTAATACCCAAATAAAACCCTTAAACTTTATTTCGAAATATAAATACACTCTCGACATTTTGTTGCTTGAAATTAAGGTTATAAACTTTTATTTTATTGTAATTATACTCATTAAATCTTAAAATTGGATGAATATTGTATAATTAATAAATATTTTAAAAATAAATTCTTCTAAATATTTATCATTATTTCATCCTAATAATCTAGTAATATTCTTCTAAATTATCATTAATTCATCTAAAAAGTAAAGCATTTTATAAATGGAAATCATTCAATTAAAAAATTAAAACCGTCGAGATTCTAATTAGCAATAAAATAAAATTTATAAACATGTAATTCATGTAATTAAAAATATAAAAGTTTATTTTGCATTTTAAAAATAAAAATTGAGAGCTTATTTAGATATTATACTTAATTAATGCTATCCTACTATCATCCAACATATGAAGACTATCAAACTTATGATATTAGAATATAAAATTATGTTATATTATAATATTATCATATGTTTCATTATTCTTATATATATTTTTTATTTTTAATATAGTACTTCAAAAGGCTATAAGATAACTCTTTAATTTCGTTGCTAAAATTTAAAATTTTCACTAACTGTTAATAAAATAATTTTTCTTAGATTATTATATTTGTATAATCCCCAAGGATTTACTACTAATTAACCATTCAAGGACCGTATATGTTTTAAAGAGAATGTACGGTGTACCCAAAAAAAAAAAAGAGCTAAATGAAAGAAAACTCCATGGATCGAGCTCTGCAAATGTAATCAATGCAGATCCGCTGGACAAACCAAAGCCAGATTATATTTACCCAGATAAATCTCAGATTGTAAAAGAAAAAGTTGGCATTTCTGGGCCATTCATTTTGCATTGCAAATCTCAGGCATTGGATTTTACTGCCACCAACACTTTATAGCGTAAAGCCACAACGCACGACAAAATCTAGTTAATAGTTTGCGTGTCTTATTGCATTCAACACTTTCCAGGCCTGTTTAACGTCGAATATGCTGCATGGATTGCAGTGTTTCTCAAACATTTATTTTATTTTATTTTTAAATAATCTCTTTCCCGAGATTATCATCTAGCCATCTCGATCGGTCTCCTTCCATGTGGCCCCCTATATTGCAAAAAAGGAAGTGATAAGCAAACGATTTTTCCGCCCCCTTCAAAGTCGTATCATGAACCAGGCAAGTCGGCATTATAGCCGATTAATGCTTTTATTTGGACGGAATGATCCAATCTCTCAAAATGGCATCATTGATGTGATAATACAACATGAATCTCTTTTCATCGATAATCCGAATAAATATATACCTATGAATCTTGTACCATCATTTACATAAAAGAAATTCATAGATTCCACTATTTAAAATGCCTTGTGAGTTGTGGCCCTAATTCCAAAAGAACCCTTCTGCGTTACATTTGGCTAAGTAGATTTAATTCATATATAATTCATAACCAGATATTTGTAGAAAGATTAATAGTAGATATCACGCATCTGAAAGTTTGATTCAATGATTCATACATATATTTTATTTAAAGAGTAAATTTCAAAATTTTTTTCCAAATCAAAAAATAAAATAATAAATATATGCAGTACAATAAAGATATAAATATTTTCTTTACCCAAAATGTCCCAAAGAAAATAAATTAAATTAACTTAAAGATAAAAATGTTTCTTCTTTTTTCTTTCTATACATTTGAATAAGGTCAAATTAAGTGAAAAGGAGGGATAACGTTAATTGAGGGATGCCATGCCCCCATCACCAATGCACCGTGCTTAGCATGACATTTTTCAATAAAGTTTCATTTTGGTTTATTTCAACAATTCATCATAGAATGCTTATAGTTATTCAGTTATTTTCATTAATAGAGAGGTTTAATTAATATTGGCAGTTTAACTGATATATATATTTTAAAAAGCTTAACCAAAATTGAATTTATTCGAAGAAAAGATAGAGAGAAAAAGACAACTTAAATTGAAACAATTATCAGAAATTAATTGGTAAAGATATATGAGAGGCATATAAAAGATGGAAAAACTAAAGACATTAATAAGCCATATGATTTCACCTTATTAAATTTTGGATTTATATTTGCTGTATACATTTATAAATTGATGGTGAATCCACATCGTTAATGAATAAGTATTCACCTTATTAATATCTCAAAAAAAAAAAAAAGTATTCACCGAGTAAATTTTAAAAAAATATATTAATTTTTTATATATTTATTTTAAAAATTGATATTTATTCATTAATAAGATGATATTATTTGATTTATTGATGGTATATAAAGTTTATACATTATGTGTTTCAAATATAAATTTATAAATTTTTATAAGACTTTAAAATAAATATACAAAAATTTAATTTTTTAAACTTTTTCATTAATAATGTAGCATCATATGATTAATTGATGATATTAAAATTTATAATCTATTAGTGTATCAAATATAAGTTTTAAGTTGCCCCCCCCCCCAAAAAAAAAGAAGAGAAATATTTGAAATCAAAATTAAATTGCAATTTTTTAAAATTTCTAATTAAGTTCCAAAGATACGTAAAATAAAGCATGGTTACATCTACATCTAACTGCCTACTGGGCAAGCTTCAACTTCAAAGTCACCTGATTTGGCACCAGCCAAAGGAGTAGGAGCAGCAGCTGGGGAACCACCATAACCATCCATGGGAGTCAGAATAGCAGCAGAAGTCGTAGTAGGAGCATGGACACTGGGAAAAGATTCAATCGATCCAGCTCTTGTAACAAAGCAGTAGGCAAGCCTTAGTGGGGACCATCCATACCTCTAAGCCCGAGCCTGTTCATGACTAGGCTAATAAAAAAAAGTCTCAAGCAGGGAAACGCGGGATGGAAGGCGGAAAAGGCTTGGCTTTGTTTCACAGAACTAAGGAAATTTCGTTTCCGTAGTGGTGATGCTGAGCTTTCTCATCGAAGAAGAAAAGCGGGCTCTGTATGCCTGGTGGAATGGAAAGCTTTGAATGGTCTTGAAAAAGTCTTTGAAAGCTCAACACTCGAGAAGTTGCTTCGCACCTCATGTGGCAATGAGGTAGCGTAAGATTTTCAGTAAAATGAGAAACTGATACAATGTTACCCTTCCCAACAGCCTATGTTTGTCTGAATCAAAGCCTACCCTGCCTTGTCTTGAAAGAAAGAACTGCCTCGGACTCAACCCAAGTAGAAGATTTGTTAATCCTAACTTATCTTCTAGCTGTTCCTTGATCAAAATTGACCTAAAATCTGTTCTTTCTTTCTAAATCAAAACTAGAGGCCAAAACTCTACCGTTAATCGAGGAAGAGATATTGCTAATGTAACAGCGGTTTTTTTTTTTATGAATTCATGTGTTTATAATAAAAGTGTAAACGAATCGATCATAAATAATTTTTTATATTTTTGATTTATTTGTTTAATTAATAAATTTTGAAATAATATTCATAATTATTTATTAAATTTAATAAATAAATATAAATAAATAAAAACCAAATAGGTTCACAACCATTTTTATAACATTTTCTTTGTTTCCACTCCTAATTTATAAAGTCGTAGCAATAGATTGCCAACTAGCAAAGGTTGGCAGCTTCCTTTTGAACTTGCCCATGTTCACGTGGTCTGCTTTCTTCTAGCGCTTTTTGTTTGTTTTCTTCCATTCCTCACTATTCCTATATAATTCCTATTTCTCTTACAAAAATTTTACAAATCCCACTCTCTTTCTCTCTTTCAAAATGGACTCCAGCAAAACCTCAGCTCTCCTCTTCATTTGCATGCTTTTCATTTCCTCAGCCACTCCAAGTTTTGGTTGTGGTTCCTGTGGCAAGTCACCGTCAAAGCATAGAAAGCCTAAGGGAAAGTCCCCTAAAGGCCCCATTACTGTCCCTCCCATTGTTAAACCCCCAATCAACTTGCCACCAGTTACTGTCCCTCCAATTGTAAAACCCCCAGTGACACTCCCTCCAGTTACTGTTCCTCCAATTGTAAAACCACCGGTTACAGTTCCTCCAATTGTGAAGCCACCAATTAACCTCCCTCCTGTGACTGTTCCTCCAGTGACTGTCACTCCAATTGTGAAGCCACCCATTAACCTCCCTCCAGTGACAGGTCCTCCGGTGACAGTGCCTCCAACTACTAATCCGCCAAGTGGAAAACCCTGCCCACCACCACCAGTCGAGGCCACTTGCCCTATTGACACACTGAAATTGGGTGCTTGTGTGGATCTGCTAGGAGGGTTGGTGCACATTGGTCTTGGTGACCGAGTTGTGAATGAATGCTGTCCAGTTCTTTCAGGTCTTGTTGAGCTCGAAGCTGCAGTCTGCTTGTGCACCACTCTCAAGCTTAAGCTTCTCAACCTCAACATTTATGTACCACTTGCTCTTCAGCTTCTTGTAACTTGTGGGAAGACACCCCCTCCCGGTTACACTTGCTCTCTCTAGACCCAAGTTAAGTACTTTTCTCACCTCCATTCTAATTCTAATACGCTTTCTTTTAGCGTCGAAACTTTAACTATTTGATTTTTCCACTACTTTTTTGGATATAATTATCAATGTTTTTGCAAGTAACATGACCTCAACGGGCAAGTACGTAAAATATATTATTACTATTATCTTACTACAAAAGTATTTCTTGATTTTAGAGCTCAAATTAAATCAAATTTTTACCAATAACAATCGTAGTTTTCTCAAAAATAAAAAAATCCCATGCCAAACACGAACTAAAAATTAAAAAAAATGAAGTCATTGACCCAAAAAGAATATATAAAGTATGACAGTGTGGCATTTTGGACTCTTAAATAATGAATGACTTTTCGCATGTTCAATTATTAAAGGTTTTTTCTCCATTTGCACTTCAGGGAACTTTTTTCCTCATTAGATTTCATGGCGTTTGAATTTGCAGGTTGCCAGATTCATAGACTCTGATGAAATCGAGCTTTCTTTTTTCTCCGCTACCCGTGATCTCTCTCAATTGGATTGTAAATTTCTGCTGACTAGCTCTTATTGTAACATCTTTTGTTTGTTTTTATTTATTTATTTTAAAACATTGTTGCAAGTGTGTTTTTGTAGACGCAATCAAGAATCATTTCTCTCTGTTCATGATTTTCCAGTGTTCTCATTTTGTTGTGTGTATAGTAGGGGTATAACGTATAACTTTTCAATATTTCCTATTCAATTTAATCACTTATATATTTGTTAATATCTAACTTAAAATCAATTAACAGTAAATGAATGGATTCAAATTGAATATAAAATTATAAAATATTAAAAATTTATTATATATAAGATAATTTATTTTAATAAGTATTTATCACGTATAAATGAAGATAAAAAAAACTTTACATGTAATAAATTAAAAAAAGATAATGAAAAAAAAAATTAACTCTAATACCATATTAAACATTTAATTTAAAATTAATTGAAAATAAAATGAAGAATTCAATTTGAATATAAAAGTACAAAATATTTAATATTCATTAAACATTTTAACAATCATTACCGCAGTAGAATGCATGAGAAAAGTCTTAAAATTTTTTAAGTCTGAAAGAAACTAAAATTTGATGCCCCTAGAGAATCCACCTCATGTACATGATATAGTACAGTTTAAGGGCATGCTGCATGCCTATAGTTCTAGTCCTTCTGGATTCTCACTTTGAAAAAATGGTAAGTACCTTATATACCAAAATCCGCCATTCAGTCTGATACCTTTGATTTATTAGGTCATCATCTAAATAATGAAAAGAACAGAGATCTTAGTTTTTACAGTTCCAATGGGCTTTGAGAATTCCAACATCCAAAATCAGTGCCATCATGAAATCTTTTTGGTTTTTGAAGTCTTGACTCTTTATTGTAGCCTCTTTGTTATTTTGGCCCTGTACTGTGCATGTTACGAGGTTACTTTCAGAAACTATATATGGGTGGACAGTGGAAATGCCTTTTGGGAGAGTTAATTACATTTAAGTAAAAAAAGACAGAAACCCCAACACGATATAAGCTTTTCCTTTTATTCCGTGCATGAGAAGGCTTCAAATTCAACACAAATAGTCTGGGAGAGAGTACACCAGGCAGCAGAAAATCAATGGCATCGGAAAATATTGCTTTACAGATGAAGTCGTCAATCATGGAGGTTCTTGTACGAAATCTGTTTTTCATTTTTTGGCATTTTTCAAATGTAGCGATAATCAGGACATGATCTCCGAGCCATTGGTTTAGTGGTTAAAAACGTTTGAAGGAACATCAAAAGCTTTTTCCTTTTTATTTGTATTAAAATTTTATCTTCATGATGTAACAAAAAAAAAAAAATGATCAGGACATGACTGAACAATCTAACCATACATTTAGATGAAAATTTCGGTGAACCATGTTCAATTAATGGGTACATTTATGGACAAAGGGTCTTAACTTATGCTTACAATTTTCATCTTTATTTTGGACCACGACATTATAATTCGCGCTTTAAAGCATGCTCTACCAAGAGTGCCTTTTAATATGAGGCAATGGGAGAGAATCAGGAAAGGCCACTCTACAACTCTAGACTTTGTCTTTTTTTTCTTGGGTTTTTTTTCGTTCTTCAAGCGGGATGTTATATAGGAATTAGCCAGGGAATCGATCACAAGGGGCAACTTGAAGAATACAGTTTCACTAGATCAATGGTAGGCTGTAAGATTGAAGGAAGAGGGAACCAATTTTAAGCTATGGCACATGAACCTTGTTTGTCTCTATCTTCAATAATAATAACACGTGATAAGGTTTTCTGTTAGAATTCAGCAGATTTTTTGGTTAATATCTCAAGTGATCCATAAAGATTGAAGAGGCTTCCTTTACAATTAATAATCCAGCAAGAAATACTTTGTCTCTTAGCCATTTGTACAAGGTCACTAAAAAAAAATCAATTAATATATGTACATAAAAGAGAACATTTATACATTTATATTTCTAATTTAAAAATAAATTTATATAATTATTTTTAAGATATAACATTTAATAAATTTCGAGTTCGAATCTTAACAATTACAATTTCTTCTTTTATTTTCGCATTGCAATTTCTTATATAAAATAAAAATTAGAGCAAAATCTACACAATATGTTGAAAGGAATCCACTTGAGGGGTTATGTCTTGACACTTGGCAATAATTAATTCATTTAAATTTTATGTTTTACTTAATTAAAAGAAAAGCTACAAGAAAATAATTAAAAAAGTTGTTCAACGACCATAGAATTTGTTTACTTATTTTTTATGCAAGAAGATGAATCAAAAGAGAGAATCAAAAAGATTGAAATAGAAGGCTAACCCATTTATTTAATCATGTAAACAAAGATTTTGTTAATAAATTTTACCTTTTTTTGGAATCAAATTTCCAAAGTTATTGACAAAGTAAGGTTTCAAATAATAGATTGAATACTTATCATGATAGAACTGTAAGTTTAAATAGATTATTGTTAGATATCAAAAGCATTAATTATGTTTCTAAACTTTTCTCACAGGTCAACAAAGTAGATAATTTGTATTATAAAAATTAATTTACCTATCAATAAATATATTTATTAATTTATTTATATTTTATTATAAAATATAATAAACTACTACTAATATTTTCCAAATTATTATCATTAAACAATATTAAAATTATTAATTTGCGTAACTATTACAATATATGATTACTTTCATATTTTTTAACAAAATAATATTTAATTTTTAGTAATATTAAATATAATTATTTTTAATCTCTAAAAATTAAAAATTGTTAATTAAATGAAGTGATTTTACAAGTAATAAGATTATTTTAGTAATAAGATTACTTTAGTAATTATATTACTATGATAATTTTTAAAAAATTAAAAATTATATTAAAAATGTCTTTTAATCTAATGTAGTATAGATGTAAATAATATAAAAGGACAACTAATATCTTTTGTCTTATATGATTTTCTTTCCCTCATAATCAACATATAATTGGCAAGCTTAGTGCACATACACTATAATAAATGCTGTGCACAGTGTGCAGTTTCATTTCCCTTTCTTTATATGAAAACAAAATCCTCATTTCAATCAACAAATTTTTTTTTTTTTTAAATTTTTGTATCAAAATATAATCAATCAACTTGTGTATAAATAAATGCTTTTAATTTCAATATAATAACATGCATTTCATTTGTTGTTTATAATAATACTTTATAAAGAATGAAAAATAAGTCATAGAAATGTGCAAATCTTTACAAACAAACTTTAAAATAATAAAAAAAAAATTCTTCAAATAAAGAAATTATGAAGAAAATAAAAATAAATAGAAAACAACCGTTCTAAATTCCCCCACTTTCCCTCCAAAAGGCAAACGTACCTATATATAAGGACACTTGGATCGTTACAAATTGCATTCTCACAAGTAACGAACATGGCATCAAAGCAAATAGCAAGTCACCAAGAAGGGCAGAGATCTACTATGGAGCGGCTCTTTGCAAGCAAAAAACGCATGAGTTCCTCAACCAGTTCCATCTGCCTAAAGGGTTGATGCATTTGAGCAACCTCGTCGAGGTCGGGTTCAACCGGAACACACGCTTCATCTGGCTGAAACAGCACAAGACCTTTAAGTATTGGTTCAAGGTCCTTGAAGCCTCCTCATATGATCCCGAGATTACGGCGTTTATTGAGGATCATCGGATGCGGAAGTTGACAGGAGTCAAAAGCAAGGAGATGATGATCTGGATTACTCTTTCTGATATTTCTGAGGATAATCCTAATCCTACCAAAATCACGTTTACTACTCCCATGGGGTTGTCAAAGAGTTTTCCGGTGACAGCGTTTGAAGAGGAGGCCGAAGAGATTAAATGACTTTTTTCCATTGATTAGTAAATTATTGAAAACAATATATCATGGTTGAGATTTTAAATTTTATTAACGGAGTTGGAGAATTATCCCATAAATTAACATTTAAGTATTTGTGGATTTTTATTGTTTGTTTGGAGTTCAACAAAATTATGTCTCCCATTTGGTTGACATTAAATTCTTTGTTTTCTACTTTTATATATTAATTATAATTCTTGCGTAAAATGAAATCAGGTGATAAATAGGTTAAGAGACTCCTATTAAATATAAAACCAGAGTTTGCGAAAGCTCAGATTTAACACATAATCAGAATATATGTTACCATTACTTCATAGAAACATAAGACAACAGTTAATTGAAACATTTGCTGAATGATATATTCGGGTGCTCATAAAGAATTCCATGACAAATTGCCATTGTTAATTGCTCAGACTGGGTAATGCTCAATAATGTAATTATATAAAGACTCTAGCCGAGTATATTATAGTGATGATAATTGTGTAGTAAATTTGAAAAAGAAAAAATGCAAACACTTGATGTTCTGTCTCAACAACCACATATGGCCCCCCTTGTTCTGATAAATGGTAAATCAAAGGGATTGGATTTTGGATTTCGGACTTTGGAAAAAGATATGCGAGCCGCATCGGAAATCAGAAACCCAAACGTACATTTCATATTATTGTTTTCTACCATCGAAAGGTTTCGTTTCGGAACCCCAAATGATAAACCTAGCTTGAAATTAATAGTCCCAATGGACAAATGAAACAAATCAAAAAGTATGTCTCTGTTGCCAATACACTAACTTGTGAGCACATGAACAGTTTGCATAATGCATCATCCACCACGGTAATATCCAGAGATAAAAATCGGAATTGTAGACACAACAGGGGAAAAAAAAATGAAGAAATAAGAAAATTGTAAGTCAAAGGCAACAACTCATCGAAATGAAGGAGTTGGGCTTTAAATCCAAAATGAACAAAAACTATTCCGTTTTCAATCTCATTCTCTCTCTCTATTCTTCAAATACCAGAGGGAGGGATTTGCCACTAAAACACAAAAACCCTGAATTAGAACTACATCTCAAATTCACAGGTGGGCTTCAGCTCTTACCAAAACAATCAGCCACACCACTGAAAAATGAACCCTAGATATGGAAAAAATTAAAGGGAAAAAAAAAAAGAAAAAACAGAAACTTATTATCTGAATTGAACTATATTATATGATACAAATCCTCTAAAAGGATTGCTGATCTACCTGCTAACTAGCAACTGAAAGATGCGCCACACAGGATCGAATTAGAACCACCCCCCAACCATCGGAGGATTAATTCAACTGTAAACTGCTGGGAAGGAACCTAACATGATTAGAATGTTTTAATTTGGACAGAGCTTCTTGTGACTTACCAAGCACGAGATCAACATAAATTGCAGTCATAGTGGCTTCGCTACTGTTGGGTACTAGGGACAATGCTTGCATCACAAAATGGTGGGCCCGCTCAAGCTCACCTTGAATTGCAAAAACAGTGGCAAGATTAGCATAAAGCGTTCCACGTGCCTCTTCTGGATTAAGAAACACGAAATCCTGCAAGGCCTCAGGGGAAGGGTTCTTGGCAGCTGCCGCTCCTCCATTTGGTTCTTCACAATCAACAAGTTTTTCCACTCGCCACTGTTCACAGTCCTGTTGACCAAACGGCAATTCAACATTATTTCCCCCAGACAAATAAATGGACAGATGGTCTGCAGCTTCGTTGGGTTTGTTCAGCAAGCAGAGAGCCTCTGCCACATAGACATGACCTAGAAAGATGTAAATTCTTGAACAACCTGGTAGTTCTAAGAGAGATCGTGCTGCAGAGAGGGCCTTCAAAGGATTTTCCAGTTCTAACTCTACATATGCCAGGTTAGCAAGAAGAGCTTGCTTAATCATCTGATTTTCTCTTCTGCAAATATCTTCATAATAGGAAATGGAGTTCTGAATAATCTCCTGATTAGCTCCCCCCTTAGGCTCTTTCAAATCCCCGTTTAAGTTAACTAGACCTCCTGACAAGGTTGAACTCTTGGCATCGATGCTAGGTAAGTTCTTATTGTTGGAGTTATTGGAAGATGCCCCATCACTTAATTTATTCTCCTCAAAGGATGAATTGGAGAGTAAAACAGACTTTGAATTACTCCACTCACAACTGTTCAACAAGTGCAGTGCATTGTAGAGACACTGCCTAGCAAGGGGTAATGAAAGCTTAGGCTGCCCATCACCACCACCTAAAACCCAATCATCCTTTTCAACAGAACCTACGAGTCCATTTCTTGAAATTCCGTCTTCAATTAGAAGTTTCCTCCATCTACCCTTTCCAATAACACTGACTCTGATTTCTGATCTCTCTGATGAAGCCTGACTTCCTTTTACAAGCCCTTTCCGTACAGCCATTAGACAACATTCAGCAAACCGAAGCCACAATATGGGTCTTTTGTAGAAAATTAAACTTGCCTTCTGAAAACAACGAGCGGCAAGAATTGGTTTTCCACAGGCCAAGTACTGCAATCCACAGTTATATATTATGAAGAGAGATTTATCCTGTGAGAATGTTAATAGCTTTAGAGGCCTCTCCTTCTGAAGAGATGAAAAATTACTCAGTGCCTTGGAAAAGAACACTGCAGATGTATGATACTTCCCCAGTTGATAGTAAATGCAGCCTAGATTGTTGTTAAACATGCTCGAAATTGCTGCATCTGTCCGATTACTTGATGCCATCAACAACTTGATGGCTTTTCGATGGTTTCCACGAGCATACTCAAGCTGGGCCTTCAAGAGAAGAGCCATAGATGAATCTCGCCCTCGAGCAATGTTCATTGCATGCTTGACTTCACGCTTTGCTAGCTTTAAATTTCTAGTGAGAAGCAAAAATCGAACCTTGTAAAGCTGCAACTTGAGCTTCAGATCAACACCAGAGATAGATCTATCAACTGTGGTCCTGGGAAGATCATTTGAAGATGCAAGACCAGCAGGCCTAGATAGGTTCTGTCCACCAATATCCAGTGCTGAAAACATTTCATCCAGTGGTTCCTCTGATAAAGTTCTAGATAGAGGGTTCTCAAAGGCATTTACGCTAGCAACTAAATCGGAAGTAGAAGCATCTGATACCGATGTGCTGCTTGGAACTGAAGAAAATTTTCCAACTAGATTCATGGATTGTTGGGCAACCATGTTACCATTGTCCCCTTGGCTCACATTGCCAATGCCAAATGCTTTTTCCAAATAATTCAATACATCCTGAACATAATTAAAGCTATTTGAGTATCAAAGTTATAAGATACAAACACTAATTTTAAATAAAATATAACATGGTAAAACCTGCCATTAAAAGAACATATACACCCACAATGAAAGTCATAAATGATAATGCCAAATTTTCAGAATAGATGAGGAATTATCTTCCTATATGCATTCCAAACCAAGTGGTCACTACAAGATGTTAAACCATATTCTCACCAAATTAATTTACAAAGTCCCTTCAAACAATAAGCAATACAAGGTGTATTACAAAAGAATTGGTGTTTGTAGATTGTTCAGAGTACAAACTGGGTTTATAACTCTGAAAAGTGTTATAGCTGCCCATACCAAGGGCATGAATCCAAATCAGAATCCAACAGGCGGGCCTAAACTGCCTAAGACTCCAAGTCAGGCATAACTGTTTAGAAGATCTTTGTGCCAACCATGCTTATCAGTATAAAATAAAGTCACCAATCTTATAAGAAAAAAATTCAATACAGGAAAGAGAAAAGTATAATTGGCAAAGCTACAGTTTTAGATAGCACTCCTCAAATAAGGAAGCAACTGATCCATTTGGTTCCAATTTGAAAATCTTAGAACAATTATCTAACCTTTACAAAAATAAAAACTTAAAATGGGAAAGATATACATAAACTAATATCATATAATAAAGGTTATTTTAAGTAGAACATATCAAATTAAACAACCCATGAAATGCAGTACTGCTCTAGAATCCTAAATTCTGACTGGGAAAGGCTTTCAGCATTTTCCATGGAGCACAAACTAAATCACTGCATTATTTTTTAGGGACATTTTAAGCAGGAATGGGGAAAAGAAAAACAAAGCATAAACAGTTTTTTTTTTAAGATACAAAGTAATGATTTGGAGAAGTATGGGCTAGAAGTAGCATTAAAAGTAAGTAATAAAATGAGAGCATTCTGCATATCATTTAAGACATGCCGATACAAACATTAATAATAGTGCAAAAAATTAAAAGGTTCAGCTTTTTTTTAATGAATTGTGACATATTTTATGCTTGTCTCATCACAAAGCACTTTGAAATACTAAAAGAGGCCTTTGCAAGCAGTTTCAGGGTGTTCAATAAGAAATGCTGAATTGACTTCCTATACATAAAATGCAAGATGGAATAGGGAACAAGGAGCACATCATGGTAAGGACAAAAATTTGAATGAACTTGTTCCTTTTAATGCCGCAGTTACAGGAGAATTTGAATGCGCATGACAGCATAAGGTAAATATAGTCTTCCTATACTATGTTCACTAACAATTACAGTCGCAAAGCTACATAATTTTGACAATTGCAACAAAAACAGACAATAGACCAACCACCAAGCAAATTATAAAAATTCTTTAATAAAAAGGAAAAAATGTGGTTCATTCTTCTTCACTGGGTAGAAATACCAGCAAATAGGAAAGCAGTCCTATTTTAAAATATAAAAAAAGTACCCTGTAGTACATGAAGTATTTGTACAAGCAAAGAACGTCAGTAATTTCATATTGCTTACATAAATTAATAAGTTAGTTCATATACTAGGACTCTAGGAGGCAAAAACAGTTTAGATCTAGTAACCTACATATGATGAATAAAAAAAAAGGGTGCATTTAGCAGATAGGACTTGTAAATAATTGATTATATTGGACCAAAACCAGTGTTCATGATTTAACTATTACTTTACAACAGCAAAAGAGAAAATGGGGATACCAAAATCCTAGGAAAAAAATGGTGTGGAACACTCTGATATAATGTCTTGCATCTTTTCAAAGTTTTAATTTTGATTGAAGTACTCAGTTATAGTTTGGCACTCCACACAATAAATCATTTTACAAAATCACTAGGAGGAATATATAGGAATGGTTTCTCATTCTCAATAAAACATTTCAAATCATCCAATCAAGGCTGTACAAAATGAAGATGCGTACCCTTTGAAGGATGTGTCATTCCCTAATCCCAAGGAACAAAAGCACCTTTAAATAAATTAGTTCCTAAATTTAAACGTTCTTAAATTGGCAAGTGCTTCAATGTCCTCTAACAACATGCTTATCAGAATTGTAAGGCAGACACTCTTTCATCAGTACACACAAGCTAGCTTTGTCATTTTTTTTTCTTTCCCCAAACCACAAAGTACAAGGCTAACAGTTAGTCATATCCATCTTAAAGTAACCTCTAAAGTGATTGAAGTGGAAATTAGCAAGGAATTCCAAGTAATCACACTACAAATATTTACACTACAAATATTTAGAACTTACAGCAGATTTCGAAGCATCATGGCAAGCTAGCGCAACATCCAGCATCAAGAGGCAAATATGAAGAGCAGTTGTCTGCATATAAATAAAAAGGGAAGCAATTAATACAAACCAACAATCATTAAAACAAAATGACAACAACATAGAGATAAAATACCTCATCTATTGGTTCAATGTTTTGAAACAAAGGTTCAAGAACTGACAATGCCTTAGCATATTCATGAAGGTGGAACCAAATGACTGCCTATATTAGATCAATTCAGAACAAACATGTTACTCCAATGAATTCATGAAAAGATTATTGCTCCTGAACTCTTGAAAGTATAGAAAGGGGATATACTATGTTTAAAGCAGCCACAGAGGAATCAAATTCATCTGAGCAAATAATACTGGCACTATTTGAAGCAGAAAACTGATGTGTAGTTGTACCACTTCCTTTTGAACCTGAAGTAACTTTATTTCCAACATTGCTACCAGACTCAACCTGTTCCCCAGAGGCATAAGCAACCTTCTCACTTCTTTTCTGAACCAACACCCAAAAAAAAAAAAAAAAATAGTGCCAGTGTAAGTCAAAATAAGTCCTGAACATAGAAATACAACAAAACTTTCTCTCCTGACAGAAATCAGCCTCCTCAAAAAATTTTTTTTTTCCAAGTTAGAGCATCCGGGAAAAAGAAAATGAATTCATTACAGGCACCCTGCTATTAGAGGTGAAAATACACAACACAAACTTGGGCTCAAAAGTCTTAGAACCAAATTAAATGGGGTCAGATACATAAATCATTTCCACCACTAAGCATTTCCCACAGTAAACACTATAACTAGCAGTGGTTTCATACTGAAGGTATTCATAGTTCAAATTACCAAATGCCTAACATAATTGTCATTAGTAGATTGCAATTATAGAAACACTCAGACAACTTTGATTAAGCTGAGCAGAGTTTTTCAACAAAAGATTTCATTTGAGTATTAGAAGATAATACTTTAGTTTTTCCTTACCCATTCTCAATTGGAGAAAACTAGACCACCCCAAAGTTACAAAATTGATGAACATGCCAGCACTATCATTCTTTCCCGTAGGTACATGACTTGATTAATAATGAGAAATTTGGTGGGAGTGCATAGCCATGTAAACCCAGAGGAAGGGGAAAAAAAAAAAGAACATTGTACCTTGACATTGTTAAGGACTTCAAGCAACTTCTTTGGATCTGAGCAACCATCCCGAAAAAACTCCGCAATTGCAATATTATGAGGAACCTGTTAAATAATCCACTGGCTCAAAAAACTTAAGACTGTGCCAACAGAAAGGGAAAAATTATAATAGATGTCAAAAGCCACTGAAGTGAAGCTATAGGTAGATAGCGCAATTTCAATTTGAGGGCAACAATTGTACTCTAGCAATGAAATAGAACACCTACAAAGGATAATAAGGACAATTAAGTAATGAAAATTCTGAACATAACTAGAACTTTATATAAACAGAATTTGATACCATTACAATCTCATGAAATTTAAATCTGTTTGAATTTGTACAAAGACAAATGATTCATATAACACAGCTATCTTAGATGCTTTTAAGGCCTAAAAATTTAAACCAAAATAAAGCTTTTCATAAAAAAAAATGGAGATAGATGTTAGTTGAGGGTTCAAGCTAAACTTCCTGCAGCAGAAGAATTTGTTCTTGGTGACATAATTTAAGTACTATTTGATAAAGTTAAAAATTCATTCTGACAAATTAAATGCTGAACTTTACTACTGCATGTTATAACTACTAATTTTTGCACTATAAGAACTATTTTGGAATGCAACTGAAATTTTCATGCTAGATATATTTAAATCGTTTGATAACTCCAAAGAATAAAGTTTGACAAATTGACAATTATAATATACTAATAGCCTAAAAAGTTTTAAGAACATCTTGATTTAATATTAATCAACATTCAGCAAAAAATAGTTCCTAGTTAACATTGTCAACACTTTTTTTATTTAAAGATCTTATTTAAGTAACCCAATATGAGTAACCAAACATTGAAATTTATAATTTTCAACAACTTACAAGATCATTAAATAGCATTGTAGTCAGCAATTAGTTAAAAGCGTAAGTAAATACAGCTTCTCTAGTCCGTCCACCTTAAAATTGGTCTTTTTCCTGCATTACAGCAAATATCCCTATCTCATGCTAGTATTTACTAAAACACTCAGATAAAGTTGCTTGAAAAATAAATCTTAACCATTTCCTTTCCAAAAGAGAGAGCCGATATCAACATATCATAGCACAAAACATGAATGTACAGTATTCGGTTCTCCACCTGTTATAGTAGGAACAACAAGACCATGACAGAACTTTCAACCAGCTATAATTCCATATTTGATGGGTATCCTGTAGTCTAACTCCATCATATAATGATTAGCTTTTAATCAATTAAGCACAGTAGACTCATTTAATTTGTATTCTCATTAAAATGACCCCAAAATTCAAACATCCTACATTCATTAGCAGGAGCTTAGGAGGCCATTGCAACAGAGTAGACCTTTTGGTAGTACAGTAACATAAAGTAATCTATCATCACCAAGAAAAGGACTATTACCCAATATAGCACTGCTGAAGCTAAAAACCCCACCAGCAACTTTATACATTCACCACGTGCTGATTAACTATAAGATTATTATCCTATACACACTGATCGCGAAGTTTAGAATCGCCACAATTAAGGTAAGTGATTACCACGTGTCTGTCTAAGTACAAATAAATATATCAACAAAGGAATTATTACGCTAACATATATAGTGAAATCGCCATATGGCAATAATTAAACCTAGTTATGGGGTTTCTAACATCCATAGTAATTGTATAGAATCATAATCATTAACTATATAAATAAGGTAGTCAACATTGGATTGTTAAGTTAATAGTTTTAGGATATTCCAGCGATTGAAATCAGCTGGTAATCAAGTATTAGTGAGCCAGAAAAATACACAACAAAACACTTGAATAAAATTCCAACTTATATATAAATAAATAAATAAAACAGAAAAGAGCTAAAATGAATCGAGTCAATCGCATCCATTAACGAAACCAACGCATGCATATGAGTAATAATTTGAATAATTCACCTTTGGATCGTCTTCTTTCTTCGGCTTCAGCTGATTCAAGATATCGACGCACTCGACAAACTTTCCAGACTGGAAGTGAAGAGCGGCGTCTTTAGCGAGTGCGGAAGTGACGGAGAGGACGCCGTCGTCGTCGCCTGCGGTACCATCTCGGTTCGGAGCCGACGACGATGACGAATCTCGCGAATCCATGACCAGATCAGACCAACCGGACTGACTAAGAAACTTGAAAATAAAAAAATTCAGCCGTAGAGGATAAAAAAACAAAAAACCTAGCTTCCTTTAACAAGAAAATGTCGTATAGGTTTTTAATTAAATTCCATTTGGGTGGGATTCTTCGTAGTGAGTCCTCAAAAAGTTCGTAGAAATTGCGAAAGCGGACAATCAACCTGCGTTCTTTTGCCGCTTCGGTGTCGTCTGATTTGCAGAAATGACAAAAAAAAAAAAAAGAAAAGAGAAGAAAAAAATAAAAACCTACGCGATCGAATTGGTGGGTGGACACAGATTGAAACCACAGGGAGAGGTTTTTTTTCTCTTTTTAGTCCAAACTGCTGAGTGGGCAGTGGTGGGGTGGTTTGATTGAGTATGAAAGATGATGGAGTTGTTTGCCTTAATTTGATTTTTTAAGGATTTTTAATTAGGTTTACTAGATTTTGGAGTCATTAATTTAATACTTCAAAAAATTTTGAATTTAACTAATTAATTTAAACGAATTGATACATATTCATTTAAGATAGTATATTTTATAAAAATAACTGTTGATCAAAAAATGTGTCATTTATTTAATTTTGCATAACTCAAAAAATTCAAATTCATATGTAATAATAATTCTTAATCTTAATTTAACGGGATTGGTTTTTTTTTTTTTTTTCTTTTGATTTTTTAAGTAGGGGTAAGCGATAAGTACATTTTGGTTTTGAAAAAATTAAAAATGACTTAACTAACCTTCCTAAAATGATCGAGATGATAATGGTCAAGTCAAAGTGTGAATGTCGATTAGCCTTGCTATCAATAGGCGGCAACATACCATGCAACTCAAAAATCAAGATGCAAATAATAGTTACCCAGATTGTATTTGATTCAGTTTCGTTCTGTCTTGACTAAGTTCAGAGATGCAATTCAGACTGATTTCTTCCGATTGTGTCGTTGTTTTAGCCGCTTAGGTCGACATGCAAATATGCAAATCTGCATTGTACATCCATCTGAATAAGAAGCAAAAGACAGGATAGTCTTCCGGTCCCTAACAGAAGCTACAGGAGCTTAAGACTAGTCCGTGGTCTAACCCTGTCAAAAGCCTACTTGGTGTTGGGACTTTTTTGTGCCCAGTACAACCTTCAAAGAAGCATGCACTAGCAAAAACTACCCTAGCAATTAAGTTTTCATGTCCAAGCATCCATAGAATTCTTTCTAATAGTACAAAATAGAAGCCTAATAGTGAAATAGTAAACTAAATATGTCCAATAGGGCAACCTCACCATGATACTCTGATGGAAGTAAGATCTACATCTAAAATTCCATTTTAACAAGTGCATTTGAAACTTCAGATCCATAATGAAGCCAATCCTTGGCACAGATTAGGGCTTCCACGGTCTCTGGTCTCAAGGAGCTTCTGTACTCATCCAGTTGCTTGTATGTGATATCAAAGACCGAGTCAGGAGCTGCAGCAGATACTGGAATCGAAAAAATGTCACGAGCCATCTTTGAAAGAGTTGGATACTTAATCTTATTCAGCTTCCACCAACCTAACAGATCAAACTCTTGGACACGGGGTAACAAGGATTCTTCCAAGTACTGATCCAGTTCAGACTTCATCTGTTGGCTAGTGGTCTCCATAATGTAGGCATCAAAATCGTTAAGTCCGTGGTCAGAAAGAAGATTTCCTTGATGAGATTCGTCAGTCTTTCCATTATTTCCAGCATTTCCTTCTTCTGCATAAGTTGGTGTCAAAGGCAGTGGAAGTGCCACATATTCAAGAAAGAGCTCGTGAATTCCATCATCAACAATTTTGATATGTGTGGGAGCATCTTCACCATATATTTTTGTGAAACTGAACTCAACAAGCTTCATTTTGAATCGAGGATCCATGACTACTGCAAGTGCCAAAACCACGCTACAATCTTTCCAGTACTTATCGATCTTTTCTTGCATTGATTTTGCAAGATTGCTGATGAAGGGATCCTCATTAATGATTGAACGACCCAAATCCGCATGTATTTTCCATGCTTCATGAAAGAATGTAATTGCAGTAGGGCTAGTTGTAGTTGTAAGGATGCTGGCTGCATCAAAGAGAGGTTTCAAGAAAGTGCATAAAGTCTCAGCCAGCTTCCAGTCTTCCATTGATGGGGCTAGCTTATAATCTGGATCAGAAGTATCCAAACAATTAAACACTTCCTTCAATTCAGAAGCGGCCGCAAGCATTTGGTATGTTGTGTTCCATTGAGTTTGATTATCAAGAAATACGGTCTTTTCACTTGGCACTTGAAGCTGGTTTTTAACTTGAACAAACTTATCATCATGGGATTCTGATGCCTTCACATACTTTACATTATCACGGATTTTCTTGATGATCTCTTGCCCTGCTCCGAGCACATCCTTTGCCATGCTGCTCAAAGTACGAACTATGCAATTTCCAATTAACAGCTGACCGTTAAGAATAAGGGGATTCTTAGTGCAGAGTAAAGGCCTAAGATTTTCCAGCCCAGCTTCACTTGGAGGATAATTGAAGGTGAGGGAAAATAACTTGCCTTCCAAACTCCAGTCTGACAGGCAAGCGGCAACAGCATGACTTAGAGCAGAATCTGAATCAGGATATGGTTCCATTATGACATTGAGAACCCGTCTATTCAACTTCCAGTCACTATCAATGAAGTGTCCGGTTATAAACACATAGCCCAGGGTTTGATTTGAACTCCACATGTCCAGTGTAAGACAAAAGCGTCCAGAAATACCCTCAATAAACTTCATGAGGCTTTGCTTTTCCCTCAGGTAAGTTGCGACACAATCCCCTTGAACGGTGTTGAAACTCACTTTGTCAAACCGAGGCTGAAGATTTTGAACAAATGCTACGAACCCAGGATGCTCAACCATGTGAAGAGGGTAATCGTGCATGATGATCATTCTTGCAATTTCATGGCGGCAACGATCCTGATCAAACGGAATGTAAGGTGAACTAGGAGATCTGTAGCGTCTCTTTGGTGTTTCACTTCCACCCATGCTTGGGTTATATGGAGTCACTTGATTGTTATCTTGGTGACGTAAGAGTGCTGGACAGGTTCCTTTGGCAATGTGACGTTTGAGATGGCTGGTACCTGCTACCTTGGAACCAGTGCTATAAGCAAAACTTTGCTTGCAACGCTTACAGCATGCTCTTCTACATCCTGGACTCACATTTTCAATGGTAAAGTACTCCCAAACTATGGACTTCTTTTTCCTTCGCTTGTTAGGCTGTGTTTCAGGAGTGATCAGCGCCAAATCATTGTTATTCTCCCCGGGGGTTGTTTCCATTTCTGTCATTTCTGCCATTGCTGTCTAGAAGTAAACCTGCTACTGACAGCAAAAGAGATTTTAAAGAAGCAATCAAAATATGTATTTAATAACATAACAAAAGGGTAGTTCCAAATACCATAAGGCTAGCATAACTAGGATGCTAGAAAATACAGGAAATGATGAGTTTTTGCCAAAGCAATCTACCGGTTTTCACAACTCAAAAGAGAGAGAGAGAGAGAGAGAGAGAGAAGCCCCTTTGCAACAGAATCTTCTCAGCTTTGAGATCATCATTACATAGAGGCTTACTACATACCAAGAGGTTCCAGAGAAAAAAAAAAAGCCCTAATTCATTTCAATTTTAAACAGCAAAACAGTCAGGATTTAAGTCAAGGCTATTGGGCATGCCCTCAATGTTGCAAGGGTTGCATGCTATGGGTATAGTTAGTGTAAAACGGTACTCTTGCTGAACTATGACATTTTAATATTACATTTACATGAGATGTGCATGCTACACTCGGTAATGTCCATGTGCTGGAAATCCAGGATTACAAATAAGAGCTGCTTTGATGGGAAGAAAAAAATAAAATAATCTAACAATGACTTTACCATCAACTAAACCTTATTTTACATATGCAACACAAATTTTATACTGGGTCTCTAAATCCACAATAGGGCTGAAATCATGAAAATTGTTCTTTTTAGGATGTTTTCCAGACCAAAGACATTACAACTTAGTGCATGTTTCCATTGGCTCGTGGGACAAATTACATTTAAGACATCTTGTCTAGAGTTTGATTGTTTTCATTTCACTTTTTTTTTTCCTTTTTCTTTTTGATATGGAGGAGAAGCCAAGTTTCCTGGGTTCCATCTTTATTGTTTTTTTGCCTATTGCTGAAAACTTCGGCTCTCGAATCGCGCGGCAGGTACATTCCATCTCACTCACAAGATAGACGTTAGACCACTGGGACTGGGTCAAGGAATCATTGGGCCTGGACCACCACTCCAGTGGGTCCATTCCAACACCAAATCATATAAAAGCACTTAACATTATATGACTCGATAAGTCGGTATAAGTCAAAAGACTACCTTACGGGCCGGGGATAAAATAGGCATTTCATATCTATATGGGCTTGACGAGTAACATCTGACATGGTTTAATATGAAAAAGAAATAGATCTAGGGTTTCAAAAATATAATACTTGAAAAAACAAATGAAGAAAAAGAAAAGCCCAGATCAAGCGAAAGTGAAACCCAATTGAATTTCTAAGATCAAATCGAAACTCATCTGCCCAGATCAAAAGGGAAAATGAAAAAAAAAAAAAAAACCCATGTTTGCAGAACACCAACTAGAACAAAAACCCATAAACGTAACGTGTAAAGAAAAACACAGGACTTGTGAGAGGAATCTACAACCCACCCAGATCATCAAAACTCAAAACCCATCGAAGCCTGAAGCAAAGAAACGAAAGCAATATGTATAACAAAAGAGGGAACACGTCGTTGCATTTAAAAGTTGAAACAAAGTCTCAACTTCCATAACTGTAAAGACAAAAATCCAACAATCTCTCATTTTTTTAAATCTAATCAAAAGTAATCATCACAATTCTCTCAAACCATGAAACATGAAACCCTAAAAATCAAAATCCAAAACTCATAATACCAATGAATAAGGAAGCAAACATTAAAAATTCAGTAGGGAACAAAAAGAAAAGGTGAAATTAGGGTCAAACAAAGGAACAAAAAAATTAGGAAAGGGTAAGTTTTTATACCGGTCAAAAACCCGAAGAGAAGCGATCTGGCAGCGGATTTGAAGCCCGGAAAGCGACTTTTGAACGCTAAGGGATCTAGAGTCTTGCAGGAAGAAAGGGGAGAGGGAGGAAGAGGATTTGGGCTTAGAACAGACCCGAAAGGGCTAATTGGACCTGAAAGGAGGAGAGTAGTAGTAGTTGTTGGGATGGGACTTTCGGCTTTACTTGGGGATAAGGCAACGTGGGGTGAGACTTTGAGATTAAAATTTGAAATGGGATAGAGGTCTTCATCATTTATTTTATTTTTGGGTATTGGACTTGGGGAGAAAGGTCCACCGTCCACTGCTCCAACTCCAATCGGCTAACCTACTAAATACTTTGAAAACAAAATTTTCAGTTCCTTATTGGTTCATTCAGCTTTGCACGGCAAAAACATAAACGAACCATGACTTCGATCTATCTACGCAACGCTGGAACGGACCACAAAGCCAGCCCACCCCAACTCTTAAATTTTTTTGCGTCTTTTTACGGTAAGTGAAGACACGTGTAAAACGTAGAGACCGTAGCCCAAACAAATATTAATGGTCTGTTTATATTGGTGAGGGTCCACGTTGGGTATTTTTTAGTTTTTTTTGTTTTGGGGATTGAGTGTTAGGGTTAGCCCAATAGCATTTGTCCACTCCAATTTTAAACCATTGTTAAAATCTATGAATCAATGATCCCCCTTCCTTGCCCTTCTCTTGTGAGGCTGAGATTGGTCCATCTTTTCTTAGTGTTCGGCCGTTTGTGGTGGTTTGTTTTTGTTGGCTTGGCTATCCTGTTAAAATTTCAACCCATTTAATAGGCAGGCCATGGCTACTAATTGTCTTTTTAGCAAGTTTCCAAGTTTCCTATGTTTCTCTTGACTTCTTGTTCTATGGTTGGTAATCATATATAATATAATACTATAATATACATAAAAATTTGATAAAATTTATTTATTTAGATTTTTATTTGGATAATTTATTTGAATGACATGTAAGACAATATTAATTAAATATTATTTAAAATAATTAAATATAAAAAACTTTTAAATTAAATCATTAAATCATATTAAATATTCAAAATATATAAATATTGATTTGAATTTAAATCCATTTTTATCCAAATATATCTAAATCTAATTATATATTATTCAAAATAATAAAACATCAACATGTAAGATAATTTTTAATTTTATGCTATTTATAAAATAAATTAATTAAAAAATTATTTAATTATCCAAATCTTTTAATATTTAACTTAAACTGAATCATATGTATATTTAATTATTTATGTTTTGATTTAACTTATAGTTAAAATATAATAAAAAATCAAATCAATCATTCTTAATTTAAAATTCAAAAATAAAAAATTATCTTTTTAATTTAAAATTTTTTCTTATCAAGTGTTCTGTTGAAATTTAGGTATGTTAATATTATTTCTTATATATGGATTTTAAATAAATTTAGATGATATAAACCTTAGAAAATTGGCTAAATAAATTTAATTCAGTCAATCTATTTAAACTAAATTGAAAAAAATAAATATTTCTTAAATTATTGTTGTTGAGGACGTAAGATATACATAGTGCTTGAAAGAGATGCACTAGGCATAATAAACCTGATCCAACTGATTTTTAACATACCTTTCAATGATAGGTAACTTTGCAGATGAAGCAAGGCTTAGGAGAAGAGATTCCATTTTTCGTTCTGTAAAGCATGTTATGCTAGAAGCCAATTATGTTTGGAAATGTTTTAGTACAGTTTAAACTTTGCATTGCTGATGATACAATTTAGATAGAAGAATACCAGAGAAGTATTATAGATATTATTTTTGCCGGCTGTAACTAAGTTATTAGTAATGAAAGTTTTTTATTTGACTCAAAATAAAAATTAAATTTTATTTAACTGGAGTAGATAAAATCCCAAAATTTTATTTTGATTAAAAAAACTGCATAACATAATTTAATATTTTTAAAAATAAATATAACTTATTTTTATTAATGACATAAACATATAGGTATAGATGCAAGTTTTTATTTATTTTTTTATCATGTATTTTCTATTTTAAGATTTTAAAACTATTTATCATATTTATTTTTTTTTAACAAGTTTATTTTTTTAATATATTATTTCAATATTTGAATTTTAAATATGTTATAATTTTTTAATTTTAGATATAGGTGTCTATAAAATACTAATTTTTATGTGTTTACAAATATTTAAGTAAACAACCAACTTGTGTATTGCATAGATCACAAGCTTGTTAGATGCCATTATAAGTGTCTTCAAAACTTTACTAAATATAGATTATTATCATGAAAGCATTTTAATCCAATGGTTGAACGATACCATAATATTTATTTACAGTCATGTTATCTGGTAATAGAATATAGAATGTTAAACTATTGGTTTTAATGATTAAAATTCAAATTGTAACAATATCAAGTAGAAAAATAAAATAAAATATCAATTTATCATAATTTCTTTCCCTTTATCTCTTTCTTCCCTTTTACAACATGACAACCATTATTCCAATTTATTAGAAATATTGTACATCCAAAAGACAAAAAGTCTTGGAAAATTATCAATTAAATATCTTTAAAGCAGTCATAAATCATAATTCTGGTTTTGGTTAGGTAAGATCTAGTTTATTTCCATTATACTTGATAATTCAAGTTAAATTAGTATATAAAAGTAATGCAATAAGAAAAAAATGTCAATATATAATTTATTACTTCATTCTCTTTTTTTTTATATATATGAATGAAAAAAGTCCCCAAAATTAAAAAAAAAAAACATTACAAATATTAAATATTAAATTTTAAATTTAACAATACTACTTCTTGCATATATATAATATATATATATATATATTATATATGTAGATAAAGATTTTGCATAGCTTCTATCCAAATAAATACTAATAAAAAAAGAATGCCCAAAGTTAGGTTGAGTCAAATTCAATTGTGAAAAGAAAGCATTCTACCTAATTTTCGAGTTTGGAATCTACTAGGTAGTCACACAATCGATAAAGGTTCACACATTTTTCAAGTGCGGTTTACTTATTTAAAAAAGTTAATAATATTCGTAATTCTTAAAATTTGATTTAAATTTTATTTTGATATTTAACCTTTAAAATATTTTAATTAAATCTTCAATTACCTAAATTTGTCTTATTTTGATCTTTCTATCTATAAAACCATCTCAATTAATGGTAAATGTTAGTTGACATACGTGATGATGTCAACTGGTATTTTACGTAGCAAAAAATGTATCAAAATGAAATTCTTTCAAAATTTAAGGACAAAAAATAAAACTATCTTAAAATTTTATATTATATATATATGTTATAAAATATTAAATTTAAAATGATATTTTTATATTTTTTGTTGTAATATAATTTATTAGTTATAGTTTTGTTTTCAATAAAAAATACATTTTTAAAAATTAAAATTAAGTTGAAATTAAATTTTTTTTTAAAATTCAATATCATTTTAAGAAAAAAAATTATTTTCTATTAAAAATATTATCTTACTCATAAATCATAATAAAAATTTTATTTTTGATCCAAAATATATTTTTAAAATATTAAATATCTTTTATTTTGCTTTTTCCAATATATTTTATAAAAAATAAAAAGGAAAAAATAAAAATAATTAAAGAAAATTTTGATTTTTACATATTTCAAATATATTTATAAAATATTATAATTTAAAATATTTTTAATTTTTATTACGATTTGATTTATCAATAAAATAATATTTTTATTAGAAAATATATTTTTAAAAATTAAAATTAAGTTAAAATTTTCAAAATAATTTTTTAAAAATTCTATATCTTTTTAAAAAATTAAATAAAAATTTTTATATCGGTTTAAGAAATTAAATAAAAACTCCATATGATTTTAAAATATTATGTAAAAATTTTCATATCATTTTAAAAAATATTTTTATTAATCTATTCAAAAATTTATTTTTCATAAAAAAAATCCATTTTGAATCTATTTTTTTGTTAAAAACTTTATATTCATATAAATTAATAATATAATTTAAAAAAATTTTGTTTTTCTTTTTGAAAAACATATTTTATATTATATATCTAAAAGGGAAAAACAAAAGATATTTAATATTTAAAAAAATTGATAGTAAATAATATTTTTATTGTGATTTATGAGTAAAATAATATTTTAATAGAAAATATACATTTTTTAAAAATGTATTGAATTTTTTAAAAAAGGAATTTGAAAATTTTGACTTAATTTTAAGTTTTGAATATTTATTTTTTATTTAAAACAAAAAATCTAACTAATAAGTTATATTACAACAAAAAATAAAAATATAATTTTCAATCTAATATTTTATAATTATGTATGAAATATATAAAATTTTAATATTTTTAATCTTGAGTTAATAGCACGCGTGGTCCCTAAACTATAAACCAAATTTTATATTGGTCCTTAAATTTTAAAAAGTTCTAATCGAGTCCTTAATTGCTCAAACGTGTGTCAATGTAGTATCTCATTTTGTTGGACTATCTAAATTGATGGTAAATCCTACGTGGCATGACACATAATCTGAACAAATTGTATTATGTGAAATTTTTTAAATGCCAACTACGCAAATAAAAAAAGTAAAAGAAACTTTAATGTTTTACCTAAAAAAAAATTAACCATATATATATATATATATATATATAAAGAAACTTGTGATATCCTATTAATGTTTTAAGTGTTGAAGAGAAATGAGGGAGCCAAAGGTTGAAAGGAAGGAGCTACAGGTTGCCGTATAGAATATATAGGCTTATAAAAAATTATTGCAATTTTTTGGGTGTTGAAGAAGAAAAGAAATGGAGTTTGAAAAAGAGAAGCTGGGGGTTGAAAACAAGGAACTAAGGGTTGAAAAGAGGAGCTAAGGCTCGAAAGAGAAGAGTTATGAGTTGCCATATGAAAGATATCGGCTTATTACCTATTTTGTCATTATGGTTAACAAGCTTGAATTAGGATATCACGAACTGACACTGACCTAGGTTGTCAATTTTTCAGTTGTAACAATTATGGGGTAAGCACACATCATTCTATTTTTTTTTATTAATTGAGTTTAGGTTTTGATAACACAACAAATGTACAATGGATTTTGAATATTGGTTTTGAATATGTAAACATAATTATTGGTTTTGAATTTATAGATATTTAAGAACATAACAAATTAAGGTGTATTTTTTTTAATATAGGTAGCAAGTAGCAACAATAGGTAGCAAATTATTGTTTTTATGATTTTTATTTCTTTAATTTGGTTTGTTTTTATTCCTTTAATTTGGTGATGGTTTTTGTTTAAATTTGTAACAACTTGGTGCATGTGAGTTTTTTCAATGGTGTGATCCTCCAATAAATGAACACTACAAGATAATCCTTTTAGGTTTATTAAAAAGGCTGTGAAGAATGAAAAACCAAAAT